TAATTAAAGTGTTGAAGATATTTTTGTTTTAAGTTTTTGGAATACTATTCCTTAAGGGAAAGCCTTGCTAGGGATTAAATTGGAGATTGGCCTGCAAATATGCTGTATGGACAACAGAGTTTTCTGTGCCCATAACTTAACATGAACTGGATGCAAGAAGATATCAATCACTGAATATATGGGTATAGTCTCATTGGTTGATATCTTTGGCGGAGGTACATGTGATACATCCTCATTCTTTCAACATCCAAGCGGTTGGTTGAAGGGCTATATTTGGTCAGGCAATAAATATTGACTGTTTGGGTTGATCAGGCGGAAACCCAGTTGAAATTAAATGAAATAAATGAAACCCTTGTTAGAGAAGGTAAAAAAGGCTAAGTTGGTAAATTTGAATTGTTTACATCTGTTCCTATGGGCTTTAAAAGTTTAATGAATGTGCCTAATTTTGGATTTTATGCGTCTTATGTATTTGTTTTTACTTAAATTATGGTATGGAGCTTCGAGATATTTGTAAATTTTTAAATTATGGACAAATTTTTACAAAACAGTCGATTGTGGTAGGTGCAAATACATGTGTATCTTTTTTGTGCATAAGCATTATTACGTCGAAAAAGTTCCAAAGAAAGATAATAGGTTGATCTTTTTAAAGAATTCATTTGCATCTCGGTCCTCGATGACAGTTTTTTTTTGGGAAAAAATCCCAAAAATTGGCAATAATTTCATCACAAAGAGAAAGTCGAATACACCTCTTTATGTTCAGGCGTGTTTGAGTTAACTATTCTGTCTTGAAAGCGTATAAAAGGAAATATTTGATACATCATCTCGCTTCAGATTCTATTATTTTATATACTTAGGCTCTAGGTTGATATAATAACATTAAAAATTTACAGTACTAGAAAATGAAATATATGGGCAAAGTGAAATACATTTCTAATGAGTCATAACAACAAAATAGGTGTGTTTGAATAACAAATTTGTTCTAAAATTACTTGACGACAGACTTTCAGAAAGATGTCACAAAAATCTGTTTGACTTGGGAGAATTGTTGTTGCAACATTTTTTGTTTTGTTCTATTTAAGAAATATAATGTTGTATGATTTCTTTTTATACCAATGTATACTAAAATGTTATGTATGGTTGAATTTTTTAATTTAAATTTCTTTGTCCAGTTCGAGGGACACTGATTCCCTAGTGGTTTTTCACGTGGATTTAAGGCGAAGGGATTTTTCCTTTTCAAGGTGTGACTTATGCTAGCTAAGTACACAAATAAACAAGAGTTGTGAAGAATCAAGTGGAAATACATTTGTCAGTGTTCCTGATTGGGAAGTAAAGAGTAGGTTTAATCCAACAACAGTAAAAGTAAGAGACAAGTCAGCATGGTTGACACTTGGAGGTGAAGTCCCTTTGCTTACAAGCTTTCCACGTGCTGAAGATGTGATTCAAATAATGTTATTATTATGTGTTACATATATAATGTTGTTATTTAACGCAAGCATAGTAGCATTGTAAAGAAATTAAAGAATAATATTTAATCAAAGTGTTGAAGATATTTTTGTTTTACGTTTTGGGAATACTATTCCTTAAAGGAAAGCCTTGCTAGGAGTTTAATTGGAGATTGGCCTGCAAATATGCTGTATGGACAACAGAGTTTTCTGTGCTAATAACTTAACTTGAACTCGATGCAAGATGATATCAATTACTGAGGATATGGGTATAGTCTCATTGGTTGATATCTTTGGCGGAAGTACATGTGATACATCCTCATTCTTTGAACATCCAAGCGGTTAGTTTAAGGACTATATTTGACCAGGCAATAAATATTGCCTGTTTGGGTTGAACAGGCGGAAACCCAGTTGAAATTAAATGAAAGAAATGAAACTCTGTGTTAGAGAAGGTAAAAAAGGCCAAGTTGGTAAATTTGAATTGTTTACATCTATTTCTATGAGCTTTAAAAGTTTGATGAATGTGCCTAATTTAGGATTTTATGCGTCTTATGTATTTGTTTTTACTTAAATTATGGTATGGAGCTTCGAGATATTTGTAAATTTTTAAATTATGGACAAATGTTTACAAAACAGTCGATTGTGGTAGGTGCAAATACATGTGGATTTTTTTTGTACATAAGCATTAATTACCCCGAAAAAAATTCCAAAGAAAAATAAAAGATTGATCTTTTTAAAGAATTAATTTGCATCTCTTCCCTCGGCGTCAGTTTGTTGGGAAAAAATCCCCAAAATTGGCAATAACTTCATCAAAAAGAGAAAGTCGAGTACACCTTTTTATTTTCAGGCGTGTTTGAGTTGACTATTCTGTCCTGAAAGCGTATAAAAGGAAATATTTGATACATCATCTCGCTTCAGATTCTATCATTTTGATATATTTAGGCTCTAGGTTGATATAATAACATTAACAATTTACAGTACTAGAAAATGAAATATATGGGTCAAGTGAAATACCTTTCTAATGAGTGATAACAACAGAGTAGGTGTGTTCGAATAACAAATTTTTACTAAAAGTACTTGACGACAGACTTTTCAAGTGGATCTTAAAAATGCATAACTTCAAAAAAACTTCATGTTTTGTGTGTGTTATCTAGGGTAATTAGTCTTCAACCTCTGAAAATTTTTTGTGTGCTCTTCCACGAAATATTTAATTAGATTTTTTTTAAATATTTTTGAACTTTCGAAAATTCCCCCTGACAAACGATCAGAAAATAGTTTTCAGTTGACCAAATGCATAAAATTACATCAAATGATGCTCAATAGCTAGTAGATACATTTTTCTTTTAAAATACAACTGGCATATAAGGATCATAATGATGCTATATGAATAAATTTGTCGGTTTTCAAGAGCTAAATTGGCAGCGCGTCATCACTACAATGGCTTCCATAATTACGATTATAAAAATTAGGTGGCGTTTACGTCATGGGGAGTTAATTTTGACAAAGTAGAATCCTGACTGGATGAGGTCCTTGATATTACCACCCCCTCTCCCACCCGTTTGAACAAAAATGGATAAGTTTTTATATTTATACTTTGTTATTGGTATTACATGTATGCATTTTGGGTTGATGAGCATGAGACAACATTAGAAAAACACAAGAATTACAATGTGATCAAATGTTTGATGGAACACACCTTTACCTAGGCGTCTGATGAGGCGATTATCACGGGAAAGTTTAATGAGGGCAAGTTGATTTGTATATTTGTGTTCGCTATTTCATTCGAATGGTAAATACGATTAAAGATCTCAAATGACAATATTGTTGATTATTATACTTCATTATTGATCCCGAGTAGTTTTGTTGTAAACATATATATCCAGTGTGCTCTTTCGCATTAACTTGTGCAAAGTAGTCCACGTTTTGGTTTCTGAAATGTATAGATATTACCTTATATTCGGTTCTCTCCTATAGAGTTTTCTATGCCCATAACTTAACATGAACTGGATGCAAGATGATATCAATCACTGAGGATATGGGTAAAATACGCATATTTCGATTGTACATATATATGTTGGCATAATGAATATGAAAAGTAACAATGTCATAAGTGAGGTTTATGAAGTTATTCAATGAAAGAACGAAAATGCTAGTTTTAAGAAAAAGCAAATAAAGATTTAATTTATTGCTAAAGAACTTTCGATACATAAATTTTACAATAAACATAAATGGGGAATCCTTATTTTAAGAATAGCAGTAAAAAGATTTAAGACATAACAATACAAAACATGACGTTTAAATGTCATACACGTAAGCATTGTAATATATAGTTAAAAAGTTCACAAAGTTTGTCCGAACCACAGTTTTTTACTTTTTTTTGGAGATTTTTAATTTCAAATACAATTAAGAACTTTGATCAATTTCACTAAATATAACGTGTGAGCGATAGAAAGGCAGATATTTTAATAATGTGGTATAAAAATGTTATCATATTTACGATCGACAACTTGTAGATATAGGGAAAATGAGAGTATTTTGTGACCAAAGTGTAATACAGTTTCTCAATTTATTACTGTTGATAACGAACATTTTCGACAGTTCTCTGTCTTTCAAATATGCATGTTGCCCTCTACTAGATGTCTTTCGATTCTTTTTATTTTTAAGTTTCTACTAAAATTTTTATTTAAAAAAAAATTAAATAACATCTTGCTATTAATTACATAACTTCAGATTCCCTAATGATATGTTGTTAGTTTCAATTTTTATAATGTCAATCATATACTGTGGTTACAGACAAGGTGAATGCATGCCCTCTTAACCCTTCCTAAAACGAGCTTCACAGATATGTAAGTCAACACGCGTCTGGCTTTAAAAAAAAAAATACTGGTCTCTTTGATGAGTTTATTCATACCTTCATTCGTTCATAAAAACACTTATGTGTGATAGAATTATTTCATTAACTCGTTTTAGGAATTGTAATCACATGACGACAACGTCATCCACCTATTGAGCTTGTTTATTAGAGTTGTGATTTTAAATCAAATTCCTGAACAATAGGAAGCATTTTGTACAAATCCCAATAAATATTTCCGTGTGTCAAAAATAGTACCATTGTTCATAAAATGAATTCTTTACAAGGTCATTGAAGTATCTGCGTAAACTCACAAACGATTGTAGTATTTTCTCATGAATGCTAAAATGAATACCTTCCGTACAGATGACAGTTCATGTATAAATTAAAAATACGTTATTTGACCTTAGCATAGAAAATACAGGAAGAGGTATAAAAAAGGCCACTTAATTTACCCCTTGAAATCTACTATTCTAAATCAACCAAATATCATCCTTGATATGTTCCTTTTTCTTGGAGTTCGGTATTTTAGTTAACAACATCATAAGTGAGTTTTAAGAAGTTATTCAATGAATAAAAAGCTAGTTTTTTTTTAAAAAAGCAAATAAAGAATTATTTATCGTTAAGGTACTTTTGTTTACAAAAAGTTTACAATTTTGAGAAATGGGAAATCCTTATTCTAAAAATAGCAATACAAAGATTGAAGAAATTACAATACAAAACATGGCGTTTAAAGGTCATACGCGTAAGTATTTTAATATATAGTTAAACAGTACAGAATGTTTGTCCGTAAACAATACTGGACTAAATTCTGATTGAGATTTTGAATTTCGAATATAAAAAAAATTGTCACTTATTTATTATTGATTAAAAACTTTGATCAATTTCGCTAAGTATAACGTGTGAGCTATAGAAATGCAGATATGTTCATATTGTGGTGTAAAAATGTTATCATATTTACGATTGACAACTTGTAGATATAGGGAAAAACGAGATTATTTTGTCACCAAAGCGTAATACAGTTTCTTAATTTATTACTTTTGATAACGAACATTATCGACAGTTCTTTCTCGTTGAAAACTGCATGTTGACCTCTAGATGGCATGAGGTTCTTTAAATTATTTAGTTTCTCCCTCATTGACTTAATTCATTGTTAAAAAATCTTGCGATTAAGTACATAACTCCCAAATCGTAGGACTCCCCGATGATATGTTGTTAGTTTCAATTTTCATAATGTCTATCTATACTGTGGTTACGGACAAGGTCATTACCTTATCACATATGTGTAGCTTAATGCGCGTCTGGCTTAAAACATATTCTTGGTCTCTGTGATCAGTTTATTCATATCTCCAGTAGTTTATTAAGACAATCATATGTAATAAAATTATTTTATTAATTCTTTATAGAAATGTAATCACATGACGACATAGTCATCCAACTTTTGGGCTTGTTTGAAAGAATCGTAACTTTATATAAAATTTATAAACAATAGAAAGCATTTTTTATAACTTCAAATAAATATTTCCGTGTGTAAAAAATAGTACCATTGTTTATTAAATGAATTCTTTACACGATCACTGATGCATTTTTATGAATTCACAAAAGGATGTAGTATTTTCACATGAATGTTACAATGCATATCTTTCGTACAGACGACAGTTCATGTAATACTATACATTTTAAATAAGTTATTTACCTAAACATAGACAATATAGGTTGAGGTTCAAAAATGCCACTTAATTTACGCTTGAAATCGACACTTCTAAATCCATAAAATATCATCCCTGAGATGTGCATTTGACATAAGACTGACAGATATCGTTTTATTTATATTTGACATTTGTCATATAAATGTGTATTGTGGAATTGGGTCCGTGAATATTTGCATTTATCCATTTTTCGTTCTGAAATATATATAAAAAAAAAAAAAAAAAATGAAAAAAGAGAAGTGTTTTTGTATTCCGTTTTTTGATATCTTGAAACAAAACATTAAAAACGGAATTGTTTTCGCTTTTCGGCATTTTTCGTCTTTGATATCACAAAAGAAAAACGAAAAACGACATTTAGATGCAATATCGGTATCTAGTTCTCTGTATTTTTTCGTTTCAGTATGAGCAATCATGAATTGTTTAATTTTTTTGTTTCATAGCCATCGACATTGAAATGCCAACGTAAATCGTTTTCATTTACGCAATATCCACACGTAAACGTCACAATTAATGTAGACAAAATAGACCTCTGACTTATGATTTAGAATAAAGTGATTAATGAAACAAACACTTTAAAATTTTCTTGTTTTTATCTAAAATAAGAAAAAAAAATATTAAATATTAAATGGATTACAAATTTAAATTAAACAATGAAATATACTACATGCATAAAGATGGTTCACATATATATATATTTCATTACAAAATCACATAAACAAAGGAGGTTACTGCTTAACTGATAAGAAAACTATCCCGGTCGTTACAGTATACACAGCGGTTATCAGATCAATAGTACTTAAATCAAAGATACAGTCGACGACTGAAAAAAGACTTTAACAATCTTAACAATTAAGGCGATTGTTCTATACTTTAAAGTTTGAAAGGTTAGTAAATGTAATCGAAAATGGTTAATTATAATTGATGACTAAGGTCAATCAGCCAAGAATGAAAATCGGTTACATCTTATGTAGATCAATTAAGAAATGCCGTAAGTTCACGCTTCAAGCATACCATCTTATGACGAAACGAGGACGAGTCACCAGGAAGCAAAGGAAGATAAAAGAGGGGCTAAAGATTCCAAAGGGACATTCAAACTCATAAGTCGAAAATAAACTGACAACGCCATGGCTAAAAAAGAAAATGACAAACCATAGTACACAAAACACAACATAGAAAACTAAAGACTGAGCAACACGAACCCCATCTAAAACTGGGGGTGATCTTATGTGCTCCGGGAGGGTAAGCAAATCTTGCTTCACATGTGGCACCGTCGTGTTGCTCATGTTAGTAGAAACCCGGTAATAAGTGTAATTCGGTAGGTTACATTCGGGATTGTAGTTACGACATTAGGAACATATCCGCTTTCATTTGTGAAATGGATATTCCGTAACGGCCAACCAAATCGTGATGGCGTCCGTAAAATTTACGAAGGGGTGATTTCAACTTCACCACTTGTAACTCTTGGTGTAATAGCTTCCTTGTGAGCAGCAACTCTCTATCAAGGAAATCATGATAGGAAATACAAGCCCTGGAGTATCGTATTAACTGGGAGATATATACCCCGTCTGCAGGCGTTGCTGAAAGTAACCATACTCTGGCAAATTATTGAAGCTAGCGCTTTCATTGAAAGGTATAAAGATAAAGAGAGGACGTATGATTAACAATCTATCAAAGACCAAATAACGTCGATATAAGCAACTATAGGTCACCGTAGATCCTTAAGAAATGAGTTAAACTCATACCGACGAGGCCCCGAATGGCAAAATGGGAAAACGTTATCACTTTATTGCGGCCAAATCACTCTTCGGGTTTTACTTTTATCAGGAGCATCAGACGGGGAAAACAACAGTACATTTCACTTGTTGGTATTCTGGTGTTTCTATTCTTTCCTTTTCTTTTGCGTGGTTCTATTAATATTTTTTGTGTCTAGTAGTTATAGCAGGTCAGATTTTTCATTTTCAAAACCCGTCTACCACCCCTATTCCCTCGCTCAAAATATTAAATGGTCGCCCCTTTATGATAAACAATAAACGAAAAACATATATGACAGACAGCAACCGACGACAATGACTGACTTTGGAGAGGCCCACAAAGAATGTGACTGGGTTGAATATGTATTCGAGTGCTATTCCCCTGCACACCTGGGTAGTGTAAAATCACAAAGTTTTTTTTCACATGTTACCGTATTAAACTTTGTTGAAAATAACATGATTTCTTCGGTATAAATGATCGAGAAATTAAGAAGGTCATTAACAAAATGAACATCAAAATATAGACAATATTCATGCAATAATTAAAAAGTGTACACTGTGAAATTATGATTATCATAGTAGTTAAAAGCACTGAAAGCTTGGTTGTAGAACACTTACTACAGGTCGAGATGAAACGATGTTTTATTTAACTTCCAATTTTGCAATTTATTAAGACACGAGAAATTTGATTTGTCAAAACACATAATACCTTATTCTTAATTTTAGTTTAAATAGTTAAAATAAACAGTTTTACCATGTTTAATTGTCGATCTTTTTCTTAATTTTCAAGAAATATAAATTGCTGACATCAGCAAATCACTGTGAATAGCATATTATACCTACAAGTCATTTGTTGTTGAAATCGTACCACGAAAAGCAAAACAGTTGTGATCTCTAACATGTTGTTTCTCGTTTCTCGTTTTTTATATGGATTAGACCGTTTTTTTTTCCCGTTTGAATGGTTTTACACTAGTAATTTTTGGGGCCCTTTATAGCTTGCTGTTCGGTGTGAGCCAAGACTCCGTGTTGAAGACCGTACTTTGACCTATAATGGTTTACTTTTATACATTTTGACTTGGATGGAGAGTTGTCTCATTGGCACTCATACCACATCTTCTTATAATATTTGTTTGTTTTGAGATTGTGACACAGTGATGACTGCTGTACCCATATTGTGACTATTTTACCTATTATGTCTGTTTTGTGCACGCATCGTTGTAAATTTAACGGAATTTGATACGACTGTCATACAAGTGAGAGGTTTAGCGCTATAAAACCAGTTCAATCCACCATTTTCTACATTTGAAAATGCCTGTACCAAGTCAGGAATATGATAGTTGTTGTCCATTCGTTTGATGTGTTTTATCATTTGATTTTGCCATTTGATTAGGGACTTTCCGTTTTGAATTTTCCTCGGAGTTCAGTATTTTTGTGATTTTACTTTTTTTTATATCTATTCAATGAAAATTCCGTTTCATCAGCCAATGTCTTCCCCTTTGTTTATTACATAGAGTCAATTTTGAATAGCATAATATAACCTTTATACACTTTTTGTTGAAAATTTAGCATAAAAAAATTATCTCAAAATGTTTACTTGTATCACCAAAAACAAAGTTTTTTACCCCGAGCTTGTACAAATTCATAACAAAAAAAACAAAAAAACATCGAAAGGGACCTTCCTTAAATAAGTTTCAACACTGTAGGTAATTGGTCGAGACGTTAAGATGTTAATGTGTAGAAAATAATGTTTTAGGTAAGGCATCTGCTTATACCTATTCCGTCGAAAAACTATGCGTAAATTACCATTTTTGGTCAAATATGTCAATTGTAACATGTTTATAACTTCAAAGTTACATCACAAGTGACACGTCTGCATTGCAGTATCCAGATTATATTTACTGGCTAATTTATCAAATAAAAATAATTTATGAAAGTCCTGGATGATTTTTGAGAATTTTTGCATTTGCAGGGGTCAATCATAAGCTCTAATCATATCCCCTCCTATGCGAAGATGTTGGATTACTTATTTAACAAGTTACAGTACTTTAATATGATTTCAAATAACTGTTTCTCCTATTGTATAACATTTTTAACAACTTTTTTATGTGATGTTTGTCGATAGTGACATCACCGAATAAGTTTTATTATTAGATGTTTACAACCGGACCCCCCCCCCCCCCCCCCTTTTGTTTTGGTCATAATGATGTTGTTCAAGTTTAATTGTCTATGAAATATTTTGTGGATTTGATTATCTTTTCGTCTTTTTTTCGAATTTTGTAACTGCGTTGTCAGGTTTTCTTAGACTGATACATTTTGAATGCCTAATTCAGCCTCTTTATATATTAAATTTCAATTGTCCATGCCTTAAATTTCACACTTTACGGACTTCTTTAAAAAGGTCTTACTCCTTACACAAAAAAGCCCAAACAGAGATATAAGGAAGAACGACTTCAATCGACACTACAAAAGTTTTACGGTCACCATAACGAGTAAGTTGATGGAAACGATGTGTCAGTGTTTCACTCACTGCCGACATGTTTTCTGGTCATTTGAACATCGGTACACTTCTGTTGCCTTAATTGTTTACTGTCATTTTTTTTTAGCTTACCATGTTAGCTGTAACACTATTTTTAATAAAATACACCCAAGTTTTATATATAAAAAAATATTTTAAAGATTTTCGACAATGGCTATTGTAAATCAATAATAGGCATATCCAAATATAATCATGTTTTTTCCAATCGTATAAATTTATGGGGAATAAGTTACGCAAAACGAATTTTCAACAATTTTCCAACTTTTTTATAGAACATGAATGGGAAACAATACCGTGTACAAGATCATGTCAACCCGTTGATCTAGGTTGTGAACGTTCTGAAACGCATGTTATCACTTCACGGAGAAAAAATTAAAACATTTGAAAATAATCTTCTCACTCTGTTTGATATTTGCTAATACTCAGAAAAATCATGTCAGTCAGTAAATACCAGATGCCTGTATTTGACCTGAAACGGATTATTCTGTTTAAAGTTTAAAATGAAAATACGTATAAAATTATAGAAATATTGTCACATTGTCTCTTACAGACACTTTTGTGAAACCATTACGGGATAAAGAAGTACTTGAAGGACACGATGTTCAATTTGAATGTGAAGTTGCTAACAGTAAACTTGAAGGAAAATGGTATAAGGATGGTAATGAATTCGAACTTCATAAATATCCAGATATGAATATACAAAACTTTGGCAGAAAACGTAGGCTTCACATTTATGCTACAAGTCTACAGGACACGGGAGAATATAGTTGTGAAGTAAATAACAGAAAAACCAAAGCGTTTTTGGATGTGAAAGGTAAATGCCAAGAAATAAAATGAAGTATTTAGGTGGATCCTTTTTTGTTGTTGTAATTTCGGTTGGAAATTCATCAGGGTTTTTTTTTGTCAAAATATCATAAACTCCTGAAAGAATTGGTCTATTAATTAGGTCTGTCAATGATGTATATTGAAGTAGAAACGAGACTATATCTTGCAGACTAAAAGTTAATATTTCTGTAGGAAAAAGTGTCAAAAAGTTAGTTTGGTATTTAAAAAAACTAATCGATTAAAAAGTCCTAAAAAAACGAATGCTCTTGGTAGTCGTTTTAAAGTTTAAGATCTCATGCATATTGATTATCATTTGGTCAGAAAATTAACCAGGTCAAAACTACAAGACAGATTTTACCTGATGAACAAAAACCAACAAAAACCATTTAATGTCAAAGAAATTTACTTGTTTTAATCCAGCAGGAAACTTTATTTCATTCCAAGAAAATAAGTGAAAAATACAATCATAACAAAAGCCACCAATCAATCAATATTCGTGGTTTTTATTTTAAAGCGTCAATATTTTTGTTATTTTTACAGCGTTTTTTACTAAAACTCTCAGGAATAAAAACTGTTTTGAAGGAGACACTGTAACTTTTGTATGTGAGGTTACAGAAAGTGATACAGTAGCACAATGGAAAAAAGACGGTATTAATGTTCAAAACAACAGATATAATATAAAACAGACGGGAAAAACTCATCAATTGACAATATTGGATGCTAATCGCTGCGATAATGGTTGTTTTACTGTTGAAGTAAACGGTAGAATAAGAGAAGCTTCACTAAATGTTGAAGGTAAGATTTGCTTTTTGTCAACTTCTCGTTTTCTTGGTGTTTCTATTTTGTGTGACCGTCAAATTATGGAATAAGCTGCAAATGATTTGATAATTTTTGGTTGAATTTTCTTTTTTCTTAACTGTTTTTGTTCTGTTGCTTATTTTTTTTTTCTAATCTTCTATAAACCCTTTCATAAACCATTGCTTTTACTGTTCTCGATATATTTCCAGCGAGTAGATGAAAAGAAATTGGTATCAACAGTGTGTAGTTTGTTGAACTGTCTATTCATTTTATTCTAACTTAAGGAGGATAAACTGGAAAATGATTTTTAATATTATGACAACTCTTTTTAATAAAGTTAGTATTTGCGAATTATTTCACTGTGTCTACTCATAGCATTTGGGAACAAAGTGAAAATAAAATCACTGGTTTGTCAAATAATTAAAGTTTTTTTTTTTGCAGTAATGTTTTGAAAATGTCAAGGAGCTTCATTTGCACCTAAGATTTACATCTAGTTTTTGGAATGATTAGAAAATAGCATGCACTGGTGCTGATCATGCATAGTAAAATGTGGTTATCATGTCATATGAATTATCAAAAAATACATTCAACCAAAACGTTTAAGACCACTTTTGATAAGGTCTGTTAATGACCTAAATCTATTTTTCTGAAAGTCATGAACTCATGCATGTGAAATGCTGCACAATGTCCGTCAAATGTCTACTTCACAAAAATGTCTCCTCATTTTGCATTTTGATTTTTTTTAATCAAGAAAACAGTAGCTATTACAAAGGTGAACTCCGTCATTACAGCTCTATATAATAGTTAATTTTATTCACATTGAATGTTTGAGATCCTTACTTGGAAGTTGTATTTTGACAGACAGATAATTGCTCTGATTATTGACACCATATGATGAATTGAAATCCAGAAAAGCACTTCGGACGCATAAAAATGTTGTTTATATGGTTTTTAATGGAAAACAATTTAAGTGAAAAAAAAAACACTCAAACATGTCGTAAAAGGGCAGTCCAGAAATGTTCAGAAGCTGAAGACTAAATTATCCTTAAATATCTTTGTAACGAAGTACTTTTTTTTGCATTGTCAAGTGGTCAATGTTATACAAACTTAATTTAAATAAAATTGAATAAACAAAACAAAATGTAAGTAATTCGACAAAAATGCAATAATGAAATGAATCAACACAAACACACAAATATAACTAAATAAACACATAAAAAAAAGGAACTTATTATAAAAACATGAAATAAACAAAATGAACAGGACGATTCCATAGTTTTTATATCACCATTAACACTGCACACCTCCAGGTAAGTTTGAATATTGCACGTACTGTAGACATCTAAAATAAGGTTGTCTCCTTCAGGTTGCAGCTTATCACAAAGTGGATAGATATAACTAATATTCACACATTTCAAAGTTGACTCTTATTGAGGAAGAGAACATTAGATAGTATGTTTTACTTCAATGATAAATTTAGTTCTCCATGACGACTGTAAACTTTATAACACTACACTGACTGCTCAATTTATTTGCATATTTGTAATAGGATACACTACAAACTTCCCAGAGTCAAAAATAACATATTTTGTGCTCGACCTGTAAAGTCGAACACAGATATTACTTGACAAGACTCGACAGTACTTAATTGTACTTAACTGTACTTCACTTTGGTCTAGACTTCACTTAATAAGTGTGATTGAGTACTTGATAATATTGGTATAATCTGAATATGGTCTCGACAAATGCTCGACCAGTCTCGACCAGTTGCGCCCAGTCGCGACCTGTCTCGACCAGTCTCGACCTTTACATTTAGCCTCGACTGGTCTGAATCACCCCATCTATCTCAATTATGTAGTGATCTTACAAAATGCGAAGTAATTTGTTATTTCTGTTGTCACATTTAAGGATTTAATTAATGAGTAAAAAAGCTAGAATTTTCAGCTCGGACTAAAGTCAGATAGTCACTTTGACAAATTTGTGTAACTTTTCTAAATCAAATTGGAAAATGATAAAACTCTACAGCTATCTCAAATATTGATCTTACAAAATGCCAGGTCATTTGGTAGTTTGGTTTATTGCTGTAAAATTAGGGATGTAATTAATACGTATCTATCTAAATTTAGTTCAAACTGAAAATTCTAGCTTTTTCTACCTTTTAATTAAATCCTTAATTTTAACAGTCTTGTCAAGTAAAATCTTTTCTCCACCATTAATTAATGGTCGAGCACAAAATATGGTCTTTTCAGACCCTGAGCCGTTTGTAGTGATATTTTCACCGACTACGGGCGTTGTAGTTTTAATCAACAAACACAGAGTTGTTACCATACATTCATTTTTATCTCCGACACCATTTATCACCGACCAGTTGTTTTGTTTTATACAATTAGGTGGCCAAGCAGTGGACTCACAATGCAAATGAATTTATAAGATGAACCGGACATTTTCTCCATTATCAGGTCATTACCCATTTGTAGATATCTGTCTTTCAAATCAGTGTTGTCCTGGGCACATACGCAAAGTCATCCCTAATCATCACGAGAATGTTTTTGAATTTAATTGACTAATAAATATTTTTCAAGATCCACAATTGTTAGCACCAACAAAAAAATCATAACCTAAACATGCTAAAGAGTAAATTTTTGTTTTTGGTCAAAAAGATGTCTTATATTTTTTAACTTAAAACTTTAACAAACAAACAAATGTTGTTTTTTTTTTATCGTAGAGTAACATGATAAGTCGGTTTTTATATTCTTTGATTAAGAGTCCGATTTCTATTGTTCGTATAAATAGGATAACATTGACATTGGTGAATTATATTTACCCTGAAATTTTGCATTTTGTGTCCGGTTTGACATCAGTGATATGACAAAACGTTTTTGAATAAAATTTCTGTCCATCTGTATGCAATCGTTAACACAGAGAAGGTGCGCTATGGTCTGTTTTTGGTGTAAACACTACGTTTTACAAAACAATTCAATTTTTACAGCAAAAAAAATTGATACGTATAGGTGCGTCCTGGTTCTCAATCTGGGGTACAACTCATTAGAAGTCTGGTTTCTTTGATACGTTATCTCAATTGTTAGTTCTTCAAAACTTGTGCACATTAATTCACTGACATCTAACTTTGCAACAAGTAAAATTTTTTACAAATAGTTTTTTCTTTTTTATGGATATCTCAAAGTGAGCTAACATAAGTACAAATTGATATTTACATGAAAGTTGTAGCTTACAAACCTGATGTAAAATTATTTTGTTTATACTTGCATACATATGCTCTGTATATGTTCGTCTATATACCATTTATAAATCTACCGAAATCTGATGTATATTTTACAAAAACGTAAAGGATGACATAATATGTCATAGTTGTACTTGTTGTGGGTTAATGAATATTAAGCTTCTTGTATTGCTTTGATTTTTAAATTTACACTACTGTAAAGCTTCAGGTAAAATTTCTTATTTTAGGCCAAATAGGGCCCTTATTGCACCAGGTCCTTTGCTTAGGAGTGTGAGTTGGGCTCTCTGTATCGTTTCGTGCATGTATCGTAATGCGATTTTAAGAAAAGTAAAAAAACGTACAGTAACATTACTAAAATATCGTAAAGGATTTTAAAATCATCTAGTTGATTCAAATTAAAAACTATTCAATACCATCACAATTGATTGCCTTCAGAAGTTCATTTAAAAAAACCAAAGTCTTTAAAATGAAACAGGTTTTACATCAACGAATCAGACTTTGACTCTGAGAATCTTAAATAAAGTGAATGAAAATGAATATTCTGCTTTCATAACGAATATATCGAAAGTAGTCGCACTGAAGTTTGACTGAATGACAAAATTTCCAAAATATCGAAAACTATTTATTTTGCTTAATTATTTAAATTTATTTTCAGCATGTTTTATTAAAGATTTGAATAGCATTTCCTGTACAGAAGGAGAGAATGTCATTTTTTTATGTGAACTTCATACCACAAAGGAACCTATAGTGTGGTTTCATGATAGTATGGAGATCTCGATATCCGACAAGTACGATGTGCGATCTCAGAAAAGAAAAACCGTGCTGGAAATAAAAAATGTTAATACTGAAGATAGTGGAGAAATTACCGTAAGAGTGAAAAATTGCACTAGGAGGTGTTCTCTGAATGTTCGTAGTAAGTATTCATCAAAAACAGAGCATGGTTCTGTAGATGATCAAATGTAGCCCTAACGTATTTATCAACATTGAGAAAATAAATATGAATTAAAAGAGAATTGACGAAAAAGTCAAGATGACAGCAACCAAACGCCAAAAACCCGAAGTACACTGAAAGGCCATATGGGAATGTTTTACTTATGACCTGCGAAGGATAGAACTCGACCTTATGCAAGTGCACGTATACGTGTACCTGTATAAGATATTGATTGCTTTTGGAACATTCAAATGTGAAATAAAAGATTAATTTGGGTTTGTTTTGTAAGGTTCTTATATCAACTCAATTTTCAAACAGACTTTTGCATAGAGATATTTTCAACCCGAAATAAGTTAACAGATGTATTGATATTATTTGCAAACGGTCGATTTCTATCCGACGCCGCTCATATTACAGATATGCATGACAAGATTTTAACAAAATAAAGATCCTTGATTTTGTTAGATTTTTTCAGCCTTACATGAATGTCACATAAAATAGAAAAATTGGATAACGTATGCAATGATTTTTTCAACTGTTGTCAATAGTCTTGTGTCTCAATTAGTGATGATTGTTTGAAGTCAAGTATTTTTCTCTAGAAAGATCAAAAGACTATGTTAATGGATCTGACCTAATTAAAAAGTGTGATACACCTTAATACCATTCATTTTTCTCGTTAACTATTTCGCAAACATTAGCACTATATATGATTGGAGGAAAGGGCTGCAGTATAAAAATTAGGAGAAGTGGTATAAATCTTTAGCAAGTGTAGGAGAAAACTATTAACAAGAGTCCAAATGAAGTTGATGTAAAAAAAAACAATTATTGATCGTGTGCACAGAACGACTGCTTTTTCTATATAGATGCATAAAATTATCTAATAATCAAAACATTGAAAGTGTTTTGCAGGGTCCTTTTAAATCGCACCTTTTGAAAAAAAACGTTTTGAGTAGCCATGTTTTAAAACTAAATCTTCATCTATGTGCGAAAAAATATTTCAAAAATGTGTTGACGTAGTTATTAACTTTGGTAGCATAAGGCTGTTTAAGGTTCGTAAACTAAGTGACTCAATCTATTGTAGAATGCTTTCTGAGAAAATTGGAAAGTAAAACTGTGAGAGAAGGATATAGCGCGCGATTTCATTGTGAGGTCAGTTGTCTAGAAGATGTGGGAATATGGTACAAAGACGATGAGAAAGTTAACAGTTCTAACAAGTTTGAAATTATTAAGTCAGGAAAGATCAACATTCTGGTTGTAAGTCACACATCTCTAGATGACAATGGAGAGTATTCTTTCAATGTTCATGATATAGCGACAAAAGCATCGCTTTATGTTGAAGGTATGTTTACTTATCTTTATCAATTTAATAGCTAATACTATAGAAACAAGATAATTTGACAATAGCAAATACCAATTATTTTTATTTTAATCAATGTTTAAAATAAATTAATATTTGATTACATATTAATTTGTAGATATAGATATAGATATATATATATATTATTTGTCTTGCTTTCCAGCAGTTCGTTTATTGAAATTCGTATTATTCAGTTACCCCCAAATATGTTGAACTGTTTATTCATAATACACCCAAACGCAGATTTCCTGCGTAACATGAGCGACAAATACATAATATATCAACACATAACATAGATACGAAATGAGTATGGTTATTACATGTGTGTGCAGTGATTTTTCGTTTTGAGTTTATACACCATATCATTTATTTTTATTGTTAAAGAATACTCTCATTCAAAACAAAAACTAAATATTTGAATCAAACATCATCAAGATGATTAACGTATACAAAACGTATTTGTCAGACAATCGGCATTCCTATTGACATCAACTTTGCACCTCCTATTTCCAATTTGTACTTTTGTTTGTTTGAGGAAGGTTTCATACGGGATTGTCCGAAGAATGAAAAAAGCTAGCATTAACATTTATCTTAATCTTCTGCTATAAAGGTGTTTTACACTAGATATTTCATAGACTAGGTTGAACGCATGATCCAGAAATAAAGGATACATAAGATACAGTGCAGTCTGCTTCATATATCGACTTACATCTCTAAATTGACACTAAGGACAGGTCGGGAAGTATATTTTCCCAGTAACGAAATGATTTCAGTTTCAGACTGTGAACATATTATTTCTATATAGTAACGCCTGCATATGGAGTATATATCTACCATCTCACACGATATTCCATAATTTGCATTTCAAAACTTTGATGTAATTAAGAGAGGGTTTTGCTAACACGGAAGCTATTTAACCTCAATAGTACGGCAGATTGAAGACATACGGCCAAGAAGATGACATGAAGGAGTTTGTTTATTTTCCTTTAGCGCAATATTGCTTTATTATCAATGGTGCAATGTATTATCAATCTTCGTTTGGTGTCTTTAGTGGCACTGGTTTCTTTTTTGAGTTTATCTCTGAGCCATGTTTTGCTTTGTTTTGTTTGATTTGTCAGTGTTTAGAGTGGGGTTCTTTCGGGACAGGATGCGAATCTTGCTCTATTAATTTTTAGATATTTCTAATTGTTTATCCATGTTATCATCGCCTCGCCAATGTTTAAATCAAGCCTATACTTTACCTTTTTCCAACGATACCAAGTTTCTTTGCTAAAAGTAGTTAAGTGTTGAAAGGAAAGAAGTCGCTGCCGCAATATTCATCGGGTTTTTTCCAGTAGAAAGGTCTGTCAATTGGATAACCCAATATTAATTGTGTTCGAATATTAAATGTAACTCAAAATTCATTGATTCCGTGATCCGTGATTATATGTGACAAAGATATTCTAAAATGGTCGACTATATCATGTATGGCTTCCGTAAAACGTACTGCCTGAGGATCAATATTGATATTCAAATTTTTTTTAGCCACTGAATTCAATGTAAAAACTGGTTATATTGGCCGGAATTTTGATTAGTTTCTTTTAATTCAGTGAACATGGTCAACTACAAAATGTAGGAACAACAAAGTTAATAATATTATTTAAAATAGATAATGTCCTACCTGTCTACTGAATGTTGGCAAAGACCAAAGACACATTTAAGCACTCAATGGAATTTGACTTTGGTAGTTTGGTAATTAAACTTTGTTCGATAGAAGGGATCGCGTAAAAAACAGTCTGATAATGAGTCTTTGTTTATGACTGTTGAATATGAAAACAGATAGAGCTATGAGAGTATCAGTATTGTAGCTTTCCTGCTGATCACTGTATTTCATTATATTTGTACAATGGGTAATACCAGTATAGTGTTAATTGAGGGCATAACCTGAATAACAGACAAAACCATTTGAAATACAATCAAACACAGCCAGGTTCTCGACCTCTATCTGGAAGATTCGAAATCGACGGTTATCAGACTTCAAAGCATCTCTTTCCTCATTCAAAGTTTGCATCGCCTTATTTGAGCCTGCATCCTTCAACCTGTCACATAATAGATCGATGTTCAAATTTCAATACTTGATTAAAAAGAGAAAAAGCAAGGAAATGAACAAAAACTTAAGGAATCGCATGAACTCTAAAATGAGCAGGACCGGTTGCGGCGACTGGGTACGCGTCTCCTGTTATTCATGCATCACACATTTATCATTCATTTATTTTTCCTTAAAACATCTTCACATTCATATCCCTCCAAACTAGAATGTAATCTTACGGAAAGTATGTTTTCTTGTAATAGAGCATGCTAAAAAAGTTAAGGTGGGTTTCCGCAATGTTCTAGATCTTGCAAATTCAAGTCTTGATGTTATACCTGAATTCGAAGCGAACATCAAACTTGCCTCAAACTAATGCGTTACTCACCGAAAGGCGAGCACGGATGAATATACTTGTTATGTCTGTCTGTTAGGTTAAAATGTATAATCAATAAAGCAAAATATTTCATCAGAAAAATAGCAAGTCGATAACATGCGTTTATGATTGATTATGTACTAAATCTAATGTATTATGTTCAATGTATTGCAGGATACTTTACGAAAAATCCCAGGAATATCACTTGTGAGGAGGGAGAAAGTGTCAATCTCACATGTGAAACAATAGAGATTAGCAGTCCAGCTAAATGGTACAAAGACGGTATGAATATAGATGTAAATAGCGGAACATTCTCCAAACAACAGAACAAAAACCAATACCAGTTGACAATACGATCTGCTAATAAGACGGACAGTGGATGGTACTCAGTAAATGTGAATGATAGAATACGCAAGGCACGTGTAACCGTGAATGATAGAATACGCAAGGCACGTGTAACCGTGAAAGGTAATATATATACATTTAATCGCAAGGAAAACATAATACTAATTTATCAAGTTATCTGACTTCAGTTGAAATGGAGACATTTTCGAAAGTCATTATAAAGCTCGGAAAGAGCGGATCACCTGAGGTCACCCCACGGTTTTTAGTGTGGTTCGTGTTTTTCCGTCTTTCGTGTTTTGTTACTGTTGTTTGTCTTTTGGTTGCTTTTTTTTGTTTTTGTTTATTGCCATGACGTTGTCATTGTATCATCGACTTATGATATAACCTTTGGTATCTTCCGCTTCTCTTATAAAAACTACTGTTAAACAGCTTTAGGATGAGTGTAGTGCCTTAATTTTACTAGACAGCTTTGCAACAAAAATGTCATATGTGTTTGCTTACTATTTTGCACAGCTAAAAAATGAAATTAAACGAGCCACCACTGGATAGATACTTGAAAATGCTTTGACGTCATATATTTGTCATCAATCACATATTGCATTAACTTAATCGAGTCTTGAAAGTGACAGTTAATGTTTTATTTACCATGATATTCGTGATAAGTTTGTACGATCATCTTCATACCGTATTTCTATTTACCATGATAATCGTGATACATTTGTACGATAATCTTCATACGGTATTTCTATTTACCATGATATTCGTGATAATTTTGCATTATAATCTTTGTACCATATTTCTGATAAAAGTTCAGAAACGGCAAGTAAAGAAAAGCTTCGATAAGTTTGGCTTTTCGTTATAGGTCCATATTGGTAATATAGTTCCTCTCATATCCAATTATTTATACATCATTTTGTAATAACTTTAAGATTGAGCCTTTCTGAAGAAGATGGAAAAAATAAACAGCCTAGGACGTAACACATTTTTAAAGTGTTATTCGTTTTCTTTGGTTTTGTAAATGCAATTTTTTGTATGATAATGTTTAATTGGCTTTTCCCGTGATCTGTTACTTATTAGAGACAATGTACGTAATTTACACTGGCGCATTTGATTTTAATTACACACAGAACTATTAAGGAATAACACCACTAATTCACAACCCCCTTGCTTTCTATGTTAAATTCTGCAATTTCGTACATTCATAGCTATTTTGTCTTAAGTTTAAATAAAGCGGTAGTCATTTCATGTTAAAACTATACCTTATCCTGACTTGTGCTGAACAAATCAACATACCTTTAATTGCACATCAGAGCACACTGGTTCCAGGAAGTTGGGTAGTACAAAAAACAGGGATAATATGCCCTCCTATCTTAATTTCATTTTTTTTTTCAAAAAGAAACTTTTAACAAGGGTTCTACAGTGATCCCAAGTCCTAAAGCTTTCATTTGATACCAAAATTGCCCAAATATTTTACTTATTGACAACGTTACAGCTATACGTAGGAACTATTTTGTTTAAAATGTGAATTACTTTCTGGTATGTTCTTTCCGCACGGCCCGAATTAGTGGTTCTATACCTAAAGGGATATGATTGTCATTTTTGACATTCAATTTTGTTACTAAATATTTCACAAAAAAAGGGATTTGTTTTCAAAGTTGACAAATATTCAGTTAAAAAATCATGGATATTCCACACACAATTTTACGTAATTTTATGTATGTCTAAAGCAATACTTGATTATCTCTTTTATTTATGTTTATATTTTTTATGCACAAACTTAGTCTGTTAATTACTGTACTGTTGCTGGATGAAATCTTTTCTAAATACAGCCACTTACGTAAATGCGGACATGTACAATTTCATATCAGTCGATTCAGGTTCACGTCCGGCTAATCTTTTGTATGGTCATATGGTCTCAAGTCAATGGATTTATAGTGTAGCATTGTGAAGATATATAGTAAAGGTCAAAATCTAGAACGTCAACTTTTACTATGATGTTGATCTAAATGTCATGGATATCATGGAGATGCTGCAACGTTTCTTTGATTATCGGTCGATTGTCCCATGTACTTCTCTTGGTTCAGCTTTCACATCCTGGTTCTTTTACATAAAAGTCTAGATATTTACATATAAAAGTGGTAGAAAGAATGTCTTAGATTGTGCTATGGTCAATTTTATTGTATTCTTGTCTTTTATTTTTGCTTGTGTGCTTTGTCTATATGCTATTTGGTTTTTCCTTTTTGACATAGTTGTTTGTTTTTATATTGGTTAAGATCACAACACAATGATGACTGCTGTACCCCATTGTTTGACATTTTTACCTCTTTTGTCTGTTTGTTTTGTTCTCACATTGTTGTCAATATAATGGATTTTATACGAATATCACACAAGTTAGAGGTTTGGCAAGCTATAAAACCAGGTTTTATCTACCCTTTTCTACACAAGGAAATGCCTGTAACAAGTCAGGAAGATGACAGTTTTCATTCATTTGATGTGTTTGAGCTTATGATTTTTCCGTTTGATAAGGGACTTTCCGTTTTGAATTTTCCTTGGAGTTCGGTATATTTGTTATTTTACTTTTAAGAAAACAACTTAGCTCATCAAATTTTTAGATGAAACTTCTATCATGGAGAGAATGTATTGGTTACCCTATCTCAAGAGTTTTAAGCAATGTTTAATTGCCAAAAAGCTCTCGCTGATTATCTTGATTTCACTATATCGTAATGGATGAAATGGTAACCTCTTTAGTTGCAACAAGTTCACGTTATACTATTCACTGTGATAGTTTTCACTAAATTTATATGAATTCGTTACTTATTTTCAACACTGCCTAAATATAGTATGCAACTTGTAACATTTATTTCATTTTTGTGTTAAATAAGATCAACTCACGCTGTCACCATTGTATTTAGCTACATCGACTTTTCAAACTAACAGACTTTATAAACATTGTAACATACTGTTTGTTTGTCGGATGATACCTTTCTTCCTAGGCATAATGTAGGGTTGTGCCAAAGTATATGGAGGATATATGGACAGTTTCAGTAATTTTGGATACTTTGGCGCTTCGCTATTTCTTCTCGTTTTCTCTCTTTAGATTTACAGTAGTGCGTTTCTTAAATATGTATTATAGTTTTTTTTTCGTAATTTTAGAGCCAAGTACGTTTGCAGTACTGGTTTTTATTATATACTTGTTAATGGTTTTTTCCAACTTCCTATTTAACAGTAGAAACATACCATCTGCATGGGGACTGAAATCGACACTTTTTTCTAGTTTTACGGTCACCATCACGAACGGGCGGACCGATAAGACATGTCTGCCTCAAATCACAAGCGACACGCTTTTATAGTCTTAGATATTCAAATACCAGAGTAATCGTCCAATCTGTAATTTTACCGAATGTGTCCTATTACCGATTGTTAACTGAGTGTTAATACGCAGGCGGGTAATGAATACACAGCAGGAAACGCTTACCCTGTCGACAAAATCCGTCTGGCTTCTTTTGGAGTTAATGCTATTTTGTGATTTTGTATTGTGTTATCTTGCTTTTTTCATCTTAATCGATGAATGATATTTAAACATCGGTGATCTTCTATTGCCTTAATCACTATATTGATTTGATTTAAAGGGGGGATAAAAAGACTAGTTAAACACTGACACATTTCCATTTGCCTATCCAATGTCAGGAATTCTCAGAATTGTCGTAAAAGTTTCGTTTGTTTTGATAATTTGGTATTCAAAGCAAATCTTTCATTCACTCTGTACAAATACTCAAAACGATTTAGAGCTTGTTATTTTGTGTAGAACCTGTGTATGGTTTAAGACTGTTTGTTGTCCTCTAGTTGTTTTTTGGAGGGTTCTTTTTGCGCTGTTTGCTTTCTCATTGGCATATATCACACCACCATTATATTTGTACGAAAAGGATAACTAATTCAAGTTATTAAAAATTTTCACTTACAAACTATAATGCTCTACGAAAAACTCTTACCAAGTTTACAACATTTTGGCTTCTTAACCTATCTTTCTGTGCTGTTTGTGTTTCATTTTCTGAGCTTTTTGTCTACATTACAAAGTTTATTTGAAACGATAGGTGGAAAAAAAAATACTATTATATGTAAATCTTGATCGTTTGTTCAGGGAAGATAAACTGATTCGCCATTGTATATTTAAACCAGAAAAAAGGACAAGGTGAATCAATTGATTACAAGCAACGAAACATTTCTTTTATTCTTATTTGGACATATTTTTTTTTTTATAATTATTACGAATATTGTGTATACCATATATCAATATTTTTATAAAGATATGATTCTTTGTCCTAGTTTTACTATATTTCTGGCCCTTTTCGATTTATGCATTTTTCCTATGTGTCTATTATATTTGCAAGTTTCAAATACATTCGTATCAAGAAACAGAGTCAATATTTGTCCAGATGCGCTCCATTTGCTGTAAAATCGGTACAATAAAGGGTTATTACAAAAAAGATTTCGATTTGCTTCAATGGTCAAAAGTCATTACCTATATAGATTGTACAGATATGTATATCATAGAAACAATATACTACCTACGTAAATAATTTTCGTTATTGATTTGTTTGTGCAATTCTTATTTATTACAGATTTCTTTACTAAACTTCTCAAAGATATTAATTGTAACGAAGGTGATAATATCAAGTTTAGCTGTAAATCCATAGAATCGACTTCACCAGCAAAATGGAGCAAAAATAAAGAAGTAATAAGTAATAGTAGATGCATTTTAGAACACATCAATCATACCCATAGGCTTACAATTAAGAATGTAGAACCGAGCGACAGTGGACATTACTGCATTATTGTGAATGGGAGAACGAGTAACGCCATTTTAAACGTGAAAGGTGTGTATATTTGAAATTATTTCTTAAAAAAACTCCTGAAAAAATGTGTTTAGTTAGTATTATTCTCAACTCTAACATTTGTAATTTTTCATTTACAATTTTTCTTTGTTGACTACTAAAGAGTTAGCGGCATGTTTACTTGCAGGAGTTCATAAATGTGTGAAAAATGCAATAGAATTTAAAATGAAACAGCATTTCCATTTTAATAAGATACTATACAAAAATTTGTAGCTGATATATAACGGAACAACCTTCCGCTTGAGAGTTTTCATTCGTATGACGTCATGTTTTTACATGACGTTAATTTACCAAGATCATTCTTGGAATTTCTTGGAATTTCATTTTATTTATTTATTTATTTTTTAATTTTAAACATATCTTATTAATCATCACCTGTTACATCAACCCTAAGTTTCCCAGGGAAGCAAGGGGCCCCCGAATTTTTACAGTCTCGTTTGTCGGGGAAAAAGCAAATGATGGAAAAAAACTCCCATTATAAATAATTGACATATATCTTTATAACGTTTATCTATCTATGTACAGATGTACATGTAATTATTATCTATCTATATATATATATTTATGCATCACACCATATATAATCATTTGAATAAAGTATTCATTCTATCTGTATATTTTTCTCACAAGAGCTCCCTGTATTTATTAAACAGTTTCAATTGTGTAGCACTTCACTCCGTTCTTTTGTTATGTTAACTTCTATTACATTCAATTTCTGGTCGAGGGATCTTTTGCCACGTGCTACTCGTTAAAATTTATTTGAAAGGAAATGTGTTATTCATTCATAAAAGGTTGGATTTATGATTTTGTCTCCCAAAAAGGATTTATTTCAAATATATGGTGAGTAAAATATTTGCTTATAATATGTACCTGTTGATACAACATTCCTTGTTACAATAAAAATTAAAATTGAGAATGGAAATGGGGAATGTGTCAAAGAGACAACAACCCGACCATAGAACAGACAACAGCAGAAGGTCACCAACAGGTCTTCAATGCAGCGAGAAATTCCCGCACCCGGAGGCGTCCTTCAGCTGGCCCCTAAACAAATATATATACTAGCTCAGTTATAATGAACGCCATACTAAACTCCAAATTGTACACAAGAAACTAAAATTAAAAATAATACAAGAAAAACAATGTAGAAAAGTAAACGCATAACAATACGCACATTAAAATTCAGTTCAAGAGAAGTCCGAGTCTGATGTCAGAAAATGTAACCAAAGAAAATAAACAAAATGACAATAATACATAAATGACAAAAGACTACTAGCAGTTAACTGACATGCCAGCTCCAGACTTCAATTAAACTGATTGAAAGATTATGTCTTCATCATATGAATATCAGGCACAATCCTTCCCGTTAGGGGTTTATTATCATACCATCATAACATATATGAGAAGAACATAACCCGTGTCATGCCAACAACTGGTTTTTAAATAAATGTGTTTAGTGCCGATGCAAAGACCAATATTAACGCCAAAATATGCAATCTTTAATGACCTGACAACAGTATCGTAACTATATCCCTTCTTAATAAGTCTATTTAAAGGTTTTGTTAGCTTCAGAGGTGAATACTGACATTTTTGTGCTTTATAAAGAATATTACCATAAAAAAATTGGATGTGAAATACCTGAACGTATAAGAAGTCTGCATGTTGAGCTATATTTACGAATGATGTCCTTATACCGATGATAAAATTTAGTAAATGTTTTGACTAGTTTGTGATATCGAAAACCCTGGTGTAATAATTTTTCAGTAATACATAAAGTATATAATAGACATAATTTACATACACAATAGAAAATGCATAGTACATAAAGGGAGTTGAGTGCAATGTATATGGTAATCCATTCAGTATTGAGGAGGTCATTACACTGGCCTGACCACGCAAAAAAAAAATATATAGTTATAAACAAAAAGTCTCACACATAGTAGAATATGCTTCATTGTTCGTATTTGGTTTTATAGATTTGAACAAAAATTGCATTTCATGTTTTGTCATATTCAAAATCCTCAATTTAATTATCCCTTTCTTTTGATATATTGCGATGTTTCTAGTTTTCCAAATAACCCATTTCGTGATAAGAAGCACCGTAACTAGAATTTTGAAAATAAGATGTATCTGCATTTATGACACCCAAAATGATACTCGTTTCCGATTTTTGTAATTTTTCAATACTCAATTTTGAACGAAATTCCAATATTTTCTCAAAAACTTCCCGCCAAATGTCTTCCACCAGTTTACAACATATATAAAGATGAAATAGCGATTCTTTTTCATTACAAAAGTGACACTTTCCGTTTGAGCGATTCATTTTTTGTAATTTTTCTTCCGTGTAAATTACATTATGAAGTAACTTCCATTGAAGTTCTTTAGTTTTCCTGTTAGCTAAATTCTTATTCAAATTGTCCTAAATATCTCCCCATGGTAGTTCCTTCCCAAAATGTAAGTTCCACTGATTCTGACTATTTGGGGTTGTATTATTCTCATAAAAGTATCTAATATCAATCAGGCACAATTTTTTAGCATAAACGACAACTCCATTTTTGTAAATTGACAAGAATTTATTATTTTCATAGGTCTATCAGACTGACTTTGCACGATAGTGTCTGTTTTTAAAAGGTCAATTTGTTCAGGCGTTAACAAAGCTTTAATGCGGCTATATTGTGCTATCCAGTTCCTTTTATCTTTTAGCTTGTTAAAAATTTCGAAAGAAGTTTTAAAGGATTTATTGTTTAAGTCCCATATACCTTTTTTTTTTTTTTATTCCACTGGAGGCAAAATTTGCATAATATAAGGCATGACCCTTGAACTTGAATTTGCAATTGCCAAATATATTTTCTTCTAAAAGGTCCTCTTTCGTGACGGATTTTTTAGTTTTCTGCAAGTCAGTCCAGGAAATCAAAAGTTTTTTATAATATTTAGACATTTTTGTTTGCCCAAAGCCTCTAGTGTCCGAACAAGAACATATAAAAAAAGTCTGTATCATATTTTTCGTCTAGTGACGTTAACCAGTATTTACCTATTGCATTCCCTTTATGTGTTTTTGAGTTTACAATACTGTACATACTTTTCACCTGTTTTGATTTTATAAAGTCCCTCAGTTTATCATTCCTATCCCCCTTTTTCTTTCGGTAAACAGCACACTGTCCTTGCGATTTGGTTTGTTTTCCCGTCCCATATAAAGGACCATATAATATTATTTATTTGTTTATCGTATATATCTGGAAACCTCTCATTTCAATTTCGTATCCGATCATAGACAGTACAAATGATTTTAATAATTAAAACTTTTCCCGTAAATGTGAGATCTCTTGATTTCCAAACCTCCATACAGCTTTTTTTTTATTTATTTTTTCTAACCAAATTAGATCTAGGTCCAGCCCATATCCATGTTGAACCCCTAATGCTTTCACAGGCCGCTTAGACCATTTAATTTGGTTAAATTTTTTATTTTTTTTTATTTCGCCACTTCCTTAATACATACCCACAGTCTTTTCTATATTCATTCTAGCCCCTGAAGCGTTTTCGTACAGTTTTAAAGTTTTAAATGTTTCTTCGATAGACTCCTCACTTTTATTAAAGAGTTGAGTATCGTCAGCAAACATATTTAGCTTTGTTTCAATATAGTCCCCAGTTCTAGTTGGAAGTTTTATTCCTTCTATATTAGGGTTGATGTTGCAAGTGGTTCTGCTTGCAGAGTATATAACATGGAAGCGATTGTGCATCCTTGACGAATTGAACGAGTTATGCTCACAAATCTAGATGTAAACCCATTCGTATGAATACCGTTTTAGCGTTAATGAAAAGCATTTTTACATAACTCCTGAATTTTTCCCCAAACCCAAATTTTGATAAACAAAAATCTATCCATTCCCACTCCGCCCTATCAAATGCTTTTTGTTGGTCCAAGAATAAGATCGCGCCCTCCTCATTTTCTAATTCACAAAAATCAAATATATCTTGCAGTAATCTATTGCCTTGAAAAATGTTGCGCCCTCTGACAAAACCTTTTTTTATCTAAATTAATTATTTGCGGTAGTACGTTTTCTAACCTTTCCGCAAGTACTTTGGATATGATTTTATAGTCCGTGTTCAAGAGCTTAATAGGATGCCAGTTTTTTATGTCCTCTCTCTCACCCCAGATTTAAACACAAACGTTATCATACCTCTGTATTGAGATTCACAAAGCAATTTATTGTCATAAATTTCCTTAATAACCGCCATGAAATCGTCGCTTATCAAATACCAATACGTTTTATAAAATTCATTCACAATTCCGTCTTCCCCGGGGATTTATCAAGTTTCAACATTTTAACGGCCTTACTAATTTCATCAAAAGTTATTTCCATTTCACACATTTTTTTTATTTTCTTCACTTAGTTTATGATCTAGATTCTGTAATAGATTTTCTGCAGCATCCCTATCCCACCCCTCAGACGTAAATAATTTTTTGTAGAAAGATACTTGTTCTTCCAGAATAGATTCTATATCATCTTTATACCTTCCATCTGAAGATTTTATTCTAGTCCATAATTTTTACGTGCCCCTCTTTTTTTTCGAGTTTAAAGAAGTACCCTGTTGATTTTTCGCCTTTCTCGTACCAATTAACCTTAGACCTAATTCTGGCTGCTTCGGGTTTTTTGTCGTAATAATCTTTAATTTTAGCTTTCAAATCATTTAATTCGTTTTCATTATTGAAAGAATCGGTTCCCGAAATATTATCCAACCTTTTTTCCCACTTCCTTATTTGTTTTTCTGTAAGGTTTAATTGCTTTGCAACTTCTATAGTAGTACTTTTTTATTTTTATCTTAGTTTCCTCCCACCATTCAAGATGATATTCGAACTGATTTTTTTTTTAAGTTCCACTTTCCCCAAAAGCTTTCGAACGTATTTCTAAATAAATCCGATTGAATAACTGATGAGTTCATTTTCCACGTTCCGAGACCGCGTTCTGGTTCATTAATTTTTAATTTCATGAACACACCGACGTGGTCTTCATTTTAGTTTTAATTTATATATTTTTTTCCAATCTGTTATGCATTAATAATTTTTTTTATGCATTAAAGAGGCACAACAATTATGTATTATTTCTTTTTTTATTTTCACACAACGAAATCGACACAGTGTTTGCACATAGCTTACTAGACATATATATTTTCATTGGATGTCAACTGTAACAGCCATAAATATGTACATCTGTGATGCTGCGCTAACTATATATATATATATATATTCATAATTACTCTATATATATCGAGAATTATATCACACTGTTGTGTACAAATCGAAAGCAGCACGCCATATTAGAATCATTTAGATATGTATTCACATGTACATATGTATGTATTTATATGTTGTGAAGAATTTTGCCTATCATTGACACAATGTTAACCTTAGATTGCTTTCTCGGTGGCAAACACACTATATCTTTTTTATGAATAATGCAAATAAAACGCTAAATTGATGCATAAAATCAGTCAACTACTATAATCCAGTTTATCAGATAATAAAAAAAAATACTTAAATCTTTCCGAGTAGATTATCAAGCGTAGGTCAGAATTTTGATTCTATCGAATTGGCAAAACACAGTAAATGTATCATGTATATATTATGTATATATTTTCTCTAATTCTTACCCGATTAACCTTTTCCATTCCTGTTATTTTCATTTAATCAAATGGTTCGTTTGATCCCAGTTCTTCATTGGTCAAAATTCGATTATGAAGTCAAATGTTCTTGCTTTCCCCTGAATTTCCTATTGTGACGTCAAGAAAAAGGCGACCATGTCTGATGACGTCAAATCAAATAGAAAGAACACATCTGTTTGTAGATCATTCGAAAAGAAGGATTAAGATTGTCTGTTAATCGTCTAAAATTATTAGAGAAACAGATTCCATCACCAAATATCGTGCAATACGATATTTATCCACTCTCGACCACTTGATGCAGTGATATAGAATCTATATATACAACTGTCTTGATCTTACCTTTAACCGTATATTGCATTATACCTTATCATAAAAAAAAAAATCGAGAACGTTAAGGAAAATTAATTTGTTATTGTTATTTTCCTACATGTTTTCACTAATTCGGTTTGATTCTCAGATTATTTTAAAGTGAGACTCAATGATATTACATGCAAAAAGGGAGACACAGTTCGATTCGAATGTGAAGCACTGGAAAACGGTATGGTAGTGAAGTGGTATAAGGATAATAAAAAAATAAATACTGATAAAAATGATAATTGTATAGTAGAAGAAAAGGGACAAGTTCATCAATTGACTATCAACAATGTTGATACAATGGATTATGGACAATACACCATAAGTGTAAATGGCAGGACCAGGACAGCATTTCTAAAGGTTGAAGGTAAATCAAAGAAATCTAAGTATAAGTTGGCAAATTGAGACAATTGATGTTAGGAATACTACATTTGCAACAAAAGAACAGTAATTCACAATAAAATTGGTAGGAGGGGGAAAAACAAGGAGGGGGGGGGGGGGGGGGGGGGGGATAAAAGTAAAAATCGAAGTTAAAAACATCACAAAATGCCAAATTTAGAAAATGAAAACAGCATTTTTTTAATTTTATTCGTTCGAACCGCTTTTCAGCCGAATACTTGAAAGTCAAGAATGTATAAGATTCGAAAAGTTGGGAGAGCGATATGACAAAAAAGCACATAAAAATAATAACCAAATTCATTTAAGGTCACTTTTGCCTGAGATAACCTGCATATTAAAAAGGGAACATACGACTGGGATATGAAAACAAACACTGCTTTCTACTAGACCTAGGCTTGCAAGCTGAGGCTGAATTTCAACTTGCTAGACAACACTATATGAATACGAACGTAAAAACCGAATGTTCAGAGAGAAGTAGCAAATGTAAATAAAAAAAGTTTTTGGTTGACCTGGAATATTGCATAAATTGAGAACAGTCTTGTCTGTTATTGAGGACCAAATATCAACTTTTATATCTCTTAAGTGTTTGTTTGTTTTACTGTGGACTGCATTTTTATTGAGGAACACACTACATCTGTTTTCAAAATGAAATTTTACCTAAAAGTTATGCAATCAATCATTCAAACGCAATAAATTAAAATTTGATTGATAATCTAGTTGATCAAGAATGATCAGATTACGAAAAAGACACTTCAATCTTACCGAATAAATTATCGAACTTCAGTGTCGACACAGTCAACACTTTAATGTAGGCTATTGAAAACATAATGAATTTATTTTTAGTCCCCTACCGACGAAGTCGAAGTGGACTATAGGTTTGCACTCCGTCCGTCTGTCTGTCTGTCCATCCGTCAGTCCGGCAAATCAGTTTTTCGCACCTTTTTTTCTTCGTGCTTGGAGATATTGATTTGATATTTGGTATATAGTTTTATCATGACCAGTTACATATCAAAATTTGAGTTTTGTTCCGGTTTGATGATTTTCAGCAGAATTATGGTCCTTGGACTTAGAAAATTCAGGCAAATAATCAGTTTCCCACACTTTTTTATATGCTTGAAGATATTGATTTGATATTTGGTATATTGTTTTACCATTACAAGTTATAGATCAAGTTCGAATTTTGTTCGGTTCAGATGGTTATTTTGCAGAGATATGGTCCTAAGGCTTAGAAAATTCACGCAAATAATCAGTTTTCCACACTTTTCGTCATGCTTGAAGATATCAGTTTGATATTTGTTATATCGTTTACACCATGACAAGTTATAGATCAAGTTAGCATTGCAATAAACTCAGGATGCTTGTTTATAAAACTTTATGGCTGGTCTTACCTGGAACAGAAAATTTTATTTGTTTATCCCATCAATAAGAAATTCGAGACGATTAAGAAAAAAAAAAAAAATTGTTATTTTTATTCATATTTTTACTGATTTTGCACACAGATTATTCAACAATGATATTCAACTATATTACTTGTAAAGAAGGAGAAACAGCTCGATTGAAATGTAAGGCAACGGAAAATGGTATAGAAGTGAAGTGGTATAAAGATACCGAAGAAATAAGTTTTGATAGGTATATAGTAGAACAACAGGAACAAAGTTATCAACTGACTAGAAGCAATATTGATACAATGGATCATGGACATAACATCATAATAGTAAATGGCAGAAAAACCAGGACAGCACTTTTAATGGTTAAAGGTGAATTTAAATAAAATTTCAAAATAATCAAACTATCTTATCACTTTGTGTGTGGTGAATATAGAATTATACTTAATACAATTAAAATAAATCCATCGGTCTATTCAAACTATGACCACTATCGTTAACATGATTTTTTAAAAAGAAAAACAATATGAAATGAGTCTTCATGGATAAGACTTCATGTATGAAACAGTACATGAAAGAATTGGTTTAGATTAAGTTTCGCGTGTTCAATGTCTTGTTCGAAATTGAACCGAATTCTCAGAATTTACAACAAATTACATAGGGAGAAAGAATGTGTGTATCTGAATTTAACAGCACAAAGGGATAGGTTTCGTACATAATCTATCTCATTACAAACACTAAGAAATACACCAATAATATATAGTAAGAAACTATCAAAATACGGCATGTGTTATAACTAGCCAACCATATGTCAGTTAGCATGCACCAAAACACGTTTCAACAGATATGCCAAATGATAAAATTAACGTGAAAGTTTCAACACAATTAAAACGTCACGATTTTAAAGCGCACAGCAAGCCTCCCGGGAAAAACTTATCAAAAGTATTAAGTGTAAACCGACATTGCATATAAATTACACTTAACAGAATATTCGGCAAAGTCATCTTACATGGGATGGTTTTAGACTATTATCATAACAACGGACTCAATTATCATGTTCAGGAGATTCTACCAAGTTTGTATGGTCGCCGTCATGATTTGGTTGAGAGTAATGCAATAGATGACAACTGATTATTTCTACTTGTGTCAACCACAATTTCATTCTCTTTTATTCTTTTCTGAATAAAAACGACTAATTACCAGATGGTGAAGTGCCATGAGCAATCTTTATTTATCTATTCTGAAAGAATGATTAACATAGGCAAACACGCTTGCTTTTAGTTATAAAAATATTTCTTCGTTTATACAAATTTCTTAATGGACTGAACATTTGTTACTGTTAATTTCGTACACTACTTTGCTAGAATAAACAGAAAATTGTTTTCTTTTTAAACCCTTTTAATAAAATGACACCATGCAATCGACATATATCATTGTGTTGCAACCCAATGGATACAAGCACACACATACTGTCTTGAAGTTGAGGGAAAACAGTATTCTTGTTTAATTTGATCTTTCCCGAATTGAAAATTCCTGATATCAACGGAGTTCTGTTTTGCATTAAAAAACTAAATTGGCAAGACTGGTGCGGCGATTCAATGTAGTATTTTTCGTGTTTATGTTGTCAAACAATACAAAATGTTATCGTAATTTGTTTTAGATATCAGCCTATGGATAATCGAATATAAAGCGTTTAATTAATATGACCAAAGTCGCGATTCGGAAATGACCTTTAACTTATAGATCTCAAACTCAAATGGCCTCTTACTCTTCCTTTCATTTTCCATATATATATATATTTGTTCAATCCATCAGGAGATACCTAATAAATCGCATCGGGAAACCATTTCGTTAGAACCAAGCCTAGCTACCAACGACTATTTGACTGAAAAAGTACACCACAAGCATTGATAATGCAGGACCATGAATTATATTTGAAGAATGAGAGTGAAAATGTTTGCACTAAGATATCTTTTAAGAAAATTGAATAACAAATATTTCGTCATTTGAAAAATTTATTTTTCCTTTTCTTGATAATTCATAATTAGAAATCTTAATGATCCATCAATGTTCTTACTTTACCTGCATGAGCTGAGACCGTATTAGTGGGATAATAGGAAGATTGAATTTAATATACAAACCGCAAGGTTTTTTAAGGAGGGAAAAAGACGTACCGATGTATGTTTAAATGAAAAAAAACAGTATGGTACATTTTTAAAAACAATGATATTATGCACTATTCTTCTTTGTATGTATTATTCCTGTCTAAAATTACAGATAACTGCAGCGTAAATATGTCTTATAAAACGATGTTCTATATCTCATAGTGTATTAATATGTCTCATATTACACCCTCGTTCATTTCATTGTAGGTTATTCTGAACATGAGGTAAGATTTTTTGGAAATTACAATTAAAAATATACTACACAAATTTGCTCTACATCCGCATTAAGATATCTGTATTTCTAGAACAAAACAACGTTTCTTCAAAAATTGTTTTCAATTTCAAAACCGATATCTGTACATGGTATTCTAAATAAAATTAATTGTAAAACTCATGAACTCCCAACTAATTTCATAAAGGGGAAGTCCATAAACCTGACAAAACTAAACGCTAAACTATATCAACCAACGTAATAACTTGAACACAACTGTCATATTCCTAACTTGGTACAGGCATTTTCAGAAGAAAACGGTTGCTTAAACCTAGTTTTACGGCTAACTGAAACCTCCCTATTATATATAGTTGACTATAGTTCCTTTATAGAGACAAAACTAGTGTGAGAAATCCAAAATATACACAATTGTTTAACGTTATAGTAATTTGAATCCAGATGTGCTAAAAAAAAGAAGCTTATTCGTTTGATTTTATTCATCCAGTCATGTCGTAACTCTCGGTGCAATTTGTTATTCTGTGTATTACCGTGCAAATCCGATCTCCAAAATTTCAGGATTCTTATTTCTTAAAACACTTGTATTATTTCACCTATTTAACTGATACATGTACGTGCATATTCAGTGTAGTGTGTATCATGACTTTTTTCGCAGATCTTGTTTTTCTTGAGTCAGGTCCAAAAATATAAACAAATAAGATGTGGAGAACTTTATCTGTACAAGGATTCGAACCTTCTTTTTGAGCTTATGCCATCACTTGGCGTCCGTCGTCGTCCGTCGTCTGTCGTCGTCGTCTGTTGTCGTCTGTCGTCGTAAACTATTTCAAAAATCTTCTCCTCTGAAACTACTGGGCCAAATACCTTCAAACTTTAACTAAATGTTCCTTAGGGTATCTAGTTGATGAATTGTATCCGAAGTTTTGATCCATCGACAAACATGGCCGCCATGGCTAACAATAGAACATAGGGGTCAAATGCAGTTCTTGGCTTATATCTCAAAAACTAAAGCTTTCAGAGCAAATCTGACATGGGGTAAAATTGTTCAATTGGTCAAGATCTATCAGCTCTGAAATTTTCAGACGAATCGAACAACCTATTGTTGGGTTGCTGCCACCGAATTGGTAGTTTTAACAAAATTTTGCAGTTTTTTGTTATTATTTTGAATATTATTATAGATATATATAAACTGTAAGCAGCAATAATGTTCAGCAAAATAAGATCTTCAAAAAAGTTATTATGACCATAATTGTCAATTGACTCCTTAAGGAGTTATTGCCCTTTAAAGACAATTTTACACAATTTGTTCATCAAATTTGCTAACATTTAAAAATCTTCTCCTCTGAAATACAGGTGAGCGATTCAGGCTCTTGAGAGCCTCTTGTTTCTAATACCTATGGTGTAATTTGCAATTTGTTTTATATATACAATTGTCTTACCACTTATAAACAATAACATTTCATTTATTGATATAATCTACTGTTCTATACTATTCAATATACACTTATAAGATTAAAACGACAATAAACATTCATGGAACTGTTATAAAGTATCGGCATGTTCTGTGTCATTGTTGAAATGGACGCCATATAATTATCCATCAACGTTGATTTCCGATGGGTATTTGACCCCCATACTATCAATATAAATATAAATCGACAGTAAAGCACATCTATAATGCCGAATTTCCTAGTTCAGTTTTATTTCAGAATCATCAGAGTTAAAGAATTAAAATGCATAAATTATCATAAGGTTTTTTTTATTATTTGCGAACAGGATCAGTCAACAAAATCCTTATAGCTTTCATTTTGTCATTTAACATGCTTTAAAATCGCTGAACAAGCTGAGCACAAATCTATATCTTACTGAGGTTAAATCATTGCTCGCTTGCATATAGGTCAAAGTAAGTCCGAATTATTGTCTTTTGGAAGAGATGAGCCAAACTGACAGCTAATCTTGTAAATGTTTGCAGCAAATGATGCTCTACTTTTTCAATTTATACTATCAAAATCATATATTTAGTAAATTTCAAAAACTTGATATCTATGTAAGTCGTATGCAATATTAATCATAAATTTTTTAGCTTTTAACGTTTAGAAATGTCACGGAAACTTAATATTGATCGATCTTAATCGGTCGATCGAATAAAAGGAACCTCTTCATCGGGTTCGATGTCTATTTTTTTTTTATTTTCATCTTTTGTATCATGGATTTTCTTTTTTTAATAGTCAATGATTTCCTTTTCAGGAACCATTTTTTTATAGTGGAGTAGATGTCAAATTTAAGGCGCAAAGTACAAAGAAATTTGATTTTAACTAACATGTTTCTACACTCAAATCTTTTACACTTACAAACATTACAGGCGGTTCATTTCAAGAAAGAGACACATGTATTCTCTTCAGCTGGAAACTACATCGGTCTGCTCCTCCTGACGTGATGAAACAAATTATAATAGAGGATAAAACCGTTCACCAGAATCTTGATATACTATTGTTTTCGGAAAACGAGGGTCAATTCAGCTTAGAAGTTCTATCAGATGTCACCGAATATACGGCTTTTAAGATAGCTACAAGTTTCCAAAATTTTAGAAATGATTCTCAAGTAGGAAACCTTGAAGATGTCCTGGAATTTCTCAAATCAGGAGAAATTAAAACCGATTTCATTAAACCTAGTAATACACAAATCAAAATGAATTCCAAAGACAAAAACGATAGTCAAACTGCTGAATGCCCAAGGACAAAATCAACGGTTAGTATTAATGAACCGTATCGTTTAGGAAAACACAAGGAATATCATAGAAAGTTACCAGACAAAATAATTGAATGTGAGAACCAAGAAAAGTTCAGTAAAAAAAGATGGGAAGAGTACAATTGTGATAAACATAGTTTTCAACGAAAAGGTTGGGTTAAAATGAAAAATAGTAAAGTGAAACAAGTGAATCGTCCTCCAAGATGGAAAATAAATTTACGAACTCAGGAATATGAACTAGAAAATTTAGTTGGTGAATATTGTGGGATGGATATACCTTCTTTTAAAAGACCAAGCGTTCCATGGCAGAGCGTGAACCCACAATTGCCGATATCGTTCAAACTTCGATTTTTAGACGAGGAGCATTACCACACGATGCGTGACCACCGTACATCATGTGACTTTAACACTTTACAACAGGATGGTCACCCTACCAAACAATGTGATAGTTGTGAAAGTGATTGTAGTTGTGCTAAAAATAATCATGGAAATCATTGAACATAAATTCTACAGATACAAATGTCTGTAATTGTGATCAAAGCAATCAATGATTCGGAACAGAATACTTTGTTATGATATTTTGGATGTACACTGTGACTTGACAATGGCTACAGTCCGTTTGAGTTCCAGAAATCTGTGGGTCCATTTTGCAAGTTGGTCCAAATCGGGATTCAAAAATAAATTTATAAAAATCAGATTTATTTGATATTGTTGGTTATTTTGCAATGTATATTCATCTATGAAGTAAACAACACACTAATTCTTAAAGTTTGCTTAAGTATAGTAATGTTGTCAATTAGGTTTAATGTTAAGAATTTCGTAATAAGGTAAATTTTTAAAGGTAATGGAGTGTGTGAATTGACAGTGGTGGCAACTGGTTTGGTGTCCTATTCATAATCCCAAACAACAAGATTATATATAAAATTGAATGCGATTCTTTTTAGAATGAATACGGAATTTGTTTGAACAAGAAACCTTCACGTTTTAAATGAAAACACAGCATTAAATTCTTATATTTACAGATCTTCGAAATAAAAAATATACAAAAATGTTATTAACAATTTAAATCTGATAGCCAAAACAAGATCAGCATTTATATGAATTGAGCACCACTGTACACAGATGTGAATTCAAATCATCTTGGTCAAGAGTCTTTCGTAAGTAAAAGAGTGTATGATACTGCTTTTGACAATTATATAGTTAATGTTGGGATCACAAACTGTACATCCCTCTGTTATAGGTTGATTATAAAAGACGATTGATATATACATGTATTGTCTATAGAGACCTCATGGGCAACGTTATTGAATAAATATTTGTCGAAAATTACCAGATTTCGCATAACAAATACTCAATACAAGTTAAGCTACCGCTTATAAAATTTGTATTTTTTTATAATTTATTTTTGAAGATATTTTTCTCAGACTGTTTATGACTTCTTTACACCAAATCCATTAGATATTCTGATGCATATGTTAGTCTGGGTAACATGATTTATCTATTAGTTGTAGTTGGCTTTGAACTAGCTTTCCATTTTGTCATGTTGGGCTTTTTTAAACTTATTATATGGTATGGATTTTGCTCAATGTGAAAAGCCATACGATTACATATATTTGCTGATATCTACCGTCATTTGGTCTCTGATGGATAGTTGTCTCTTTTGCAAACATACCACTTTTTTTAATATTGTATAGATACATGATCATAAATTAAATGTGTTTTGTTAATGTAAGTAGACACCAAAAGTTGTCAAACAGAATAGTTTGAATTAATAACTTTATAAATGAAAGCAATATTTGTTTATATTTGTACCATGCAACAAAAAATTGACAAAGTTGTTATAGGGATACTATTGACTTTACGCATCCACAAGTACGTCTGTTCGAGTGTCTGATTGTTTTTTTATGCACACTTAAACTAGAATTCGGAGGTACTTAATATGCTAGTAGTGATATATGAGGCGTTCGAACCCCAAAAGGCGGACACTGGACGTAGACACCACACCCTAGTGTTGGACAATTCTACCCTTAAACCTGGACACGGGACGCGGCCGCCATACCTTAGTGTTGGACAAGTCTACCCTCCAAGGTGGACTCGGACGCCATACCCTAGTGTTAGACAAGTCTACCCTCCAAGGTGGACGCAACTAGTGACGGCATACCCTATAGTTGGACAAGTCTACCCTCCAAGGTGGACGCTAATAGTGATGTCATATCCTTGAAAGTGGACGGCAGACCCTTGAAAACGGACGCGTATTTTATTGGAATACTTGAAATCTCTCTCACACTTCCAGACACTAGATCTGGTTCAGGACTTGAGACCTGCTACACATACATGAAGGTGGTTTAAGATTTTTTTTTTTTTTTAATGGGTACCCTTGGAAAATAGACGGCGCACCCTATCAAACGGGAGCGGAGCCTTCGTAGCTGTACGCCAACCCTTTAAATTAACACCTTTATACATCTGAACCATATTTATGATACGCCAGTGGTAGTTTTGAAAAGAAATAGTTTGTAATGCCCAACAAGTAAGATTCTTTTTGAAAGGTTTAGGCCCCTTAAAGGGACTGTTGTGAAATTCACATCTATGATAGGGAAAATCGTTCAAATTCTCACATGGTGACCGTCTATCTGCACATAGTAGGCTAATTGGTTGGTTGAAATCCAGCGACGATCTTTCCAAGTTATTCCAACAAAGTGATAAAATTTTAACGCCAGTTTCTTAAATACACAAACTCCCTGACTGATTTCCATGCACATCACCTCTTCCTTCACTCGCTTAAGCCACATCTTCTTAGTGTCTTCGTCTAGTCACAAAGACTTGTATGGGAACAGTTCAGGGTGGACTTCAACATGGCAAGTGAAAATATGGCGTCTAGCAATGTACAACTGCATTTTGGAAATGAGCAACCTTAGCTTCAAAACATCAAAATATATGTGGAGTTATATATCACCTGCTGAAAGGTTCGAGTAAAACACAGAAAGCGTCGCTCAATTGTTCTAAACAAATTTTATGTTGAAAATACGTAAAAAGCATTACGAATGCTACCTCAAAGAACTTAAGTAAACAAAATCAAAACACTTTATTAATATCAGTACAGGTTTATGAAATACATATATCATTATATATGCTGTTAAATATAAACACCAGTTAACTTAAATAAGCAATGGGAAGACTCTGTTTGTTCATCTCTTTAATGATTAGTGTAAACAATCGTAAACACTCCACATTATTGCTTTTCGACTTCTTTGAACCACTTAATTAATACCAGTCATATGGTCATATACAGAATTAAAATTACACCCCAAATAATTAGCTAAAAGAATAAAGCACATCTGGTGATTAAAAATAAGATGTCATTATAAACCTTTTTTTTCAATTACATGTAAGCAGATGTACAATTTTTTATCTGGTAATCATTTACGTACGTAAGCATTTTTTAAACAATTCACGCGAATAAACTGACAGGAGTTGGGGAAAATTTAATTAAAAATTTAAGAAACTTTCTTTCAATAAAACTCATGAGACCTGTTAGTCACGGAATAGTTATCGCACAATTAAAATAAAAACAAATATGCAAAATAGGTGAATGAATGAAAAAATTTGATAAATGAATGGAAAATCAAAATCAAAACAAAACAAAATATTGCAAAACCAAATGAATTGAAATAAAATCTAAATGAATGTAATAAGATAAAAACTCATTGCGGACTAACATGTCGCCTATTTTCATACATTACTTTGTATCCTAAATTGATTTTGGAATTCATTTAAGTTTTCACTAAACTAACTGAATAAGTTAATCCGATTAGTTGGAATAATGACAATCATAGCACCATATTGATAAGTTTCTCATTTTTAGTATAACGCATGGTAATAATCAAAATAAATATACCTATTGATAATATTAAAAACCCAGAAGCTATATCAATAGGGAATGTTAATAACACGTGTATCTCCGTGCACTTGGTGCTGTCACTGTATACACTTTATATTAATTGTATGTTCGGATTTATTTTTATATTCAAGGGGTGTGTACTTTTTACGACAAATAAATGTATATATCATTCAATTTTCAACTAAAATATTTACTATTAGGTAAATTGGTAGTAAATGCTGCCCCTGCAGTATCTTTGTTATGTTTTATAATGGAACAAGAACCCAAGTCCAGTATATCTCTTGCAAAAGCACACCGATTCTTTAATAGAACTTTGGCTAATTTCAATTTTTGCTCTTGGTTACTTATTTTCTTGCAACTTTTCTGATAGAGTTCAAAAAGAAAATCTGGTAATCTTGGAATTTATACCTCAATTCCAAGACTATCAGTTTTGGTAGTCAACACTTAAGAACTTTTCCAATTTTCAGGGATATACATTAGGTCACATTGACTCAGGCCAATACAGAAATCTTTTTATAAAACAGATTATAGGTCACATTGACTCATGCCAATACAGAAATATTTATATAAAAAAGACTAATACAATTCAACATCACCATTGTTGTCAATGAACTCCTCAAATTTTCCAACATGAAACTCGCCTAATAAATATATTTTACGAATTCTAATTGGATACTTCTCTAAGTTTACAATTCTGACAGGAATAGTTTCCTTATACGGATCAACCAAAGACCTAGAAAATATTAATTTTCTTTCATCTTCAACGACTGGATCAACACTGCAATAACGGGAATTAAGTATTTCTGAACTTATACTTAGACCTGTTAAATTATAATTAGATGGAATATTAACAGCTTCCTTTAAACAACTCTCGCCACTCTGACCTCCTTGTAACGTCACAATTAATCCATTAACCTATAATTTCTAAGCCTCTCTTTATTTTAATTGTGATATCATGTTCATTTATTATACCACAGCCTAATAACAGGACGCCATCAATAGGCGCAATCTATACAGACCAAATGAAATCAAATGGACCTAATTGACATGAAACATCAGCCATACCTGAAGTTTGCATTTACTTGCCTGCCTCTGCGACTCGTAACAGTAACCTCAGCACCTGTATCAATGACTGCATTCAAAAAGTCACCACCAAAGACAATAAGTACCCTCAACGTAACTGCCCTTACCCTATCTATTACAATATCAACACTAGTCATATCAACAGAAGGATCAACAGTAACATATTCATCAAGAACGGAACTTTCTGCTACATTTATTTCAGCATCATCAAACTGACCAGAAGCTACTGGGAGCTTTGATCTCTCAGACTTATCACCACAAACAGTATCAGAAGCATACAATGTATCAAGGTCATCGAAAGCTTCTGAAAGCTTTGATGTACCAATATCAAAATCTCTACAATTTTTTGTGAATCTTTCATTAACAGAGTTTGTTAAATTAAAGTCAACAGTTTTTCCTCTATTCAGCGTACATTTATTTTCATTTTCTCTCATTATAAAGGTATTCTCATTTAATTCATCTGAAATAACTGAATGGTTTGATGTATAAATAACATATGCTTGAAATTGAAAAATGTAACATAAAAAGTGACGAAGGCCAAGAATACGTGGTCTGCGTATTATTTAGATTGTACTACACAAAGTGGCCTACAATTGAGAGAATGATGTGGCACACAGAAGAGAAGTTGTCTCTAGAATAACTACACCATAACTTTTAAAATACAGAAGAGCCTACATTAACACATTTTGAATTCAAATATAGCAGAAACAACATAATACAGAATAGCACTTTTACTTGTTACGGTAATGAAATTTCGTACAAAACCTACATGACCTAGAAGAATTATTAATCAAGAAAGTACATGTAGCTCTTATATATTTACATGTAGTTATGAAAATTTAGAAAACAGTGATGTTATGAAATTACAATAAAAATTAATGAAGAAAAGTGGTTGACATGTATGACTGAGTGTTTTTCATAAACAAAAACAGGTAATGTAAAAAAAAAACAATGTTTTATAAATGATAAAGACAGCTTGCATTGTATATTATCTATAAACAGGTTAGTTTTAGAATACTTTTGTTTATATCTAGGTTTGAAATTATATTAGAATATATATACCTAAAACATGTAAAAATGCTATTCAATCTTATTAACTTTAATTGAAGATATCATTTGACCAATAAGGTGATATCTGTTTTTTACAATATGTAAATGTTCTATAAATCTATAACCCTAAATCGCCGTGAAATAACCTTTTTGCGCTAATGCGGCTTAAAGCAAACACCAATTAATCCAACAATAAACAGATAAAGGTAAGGCCAATTTCCTCTGTACCTTTTTCACTTGCAGCATAGGGAAATTGTTTAAACGTGACAAAATTTGTATCTGTAGAAACCTATAAGTAATATACTTTAAAACAAAATGTTTCTATACATCCATGGAATAAAACTGTACCTTTTTCACTTGCAGCATAGGGAAATTGTTTAAACGTGACAAAATTTGTATCTGTAGAAACCTATAAGTAATATACTTTAAAACAAAATATTTCTATACATCCATGGAATCAGCAATTTATTTAGCCCAACACACTGACTTTTGAGGCAATTCAAAACCAATATTGCAAAAAACATATGTTTAAGTCAACATGTTGCATTGAAGCACAACAATAACCAAATTAACTTTGGTTCTAAAATTATAATTATAAAGCATGATAAATTCTAGTCTTTTGATAAATCAACATTTGAATTGTATCAGAATTCTTCATACAACAGTACAACGAAACGGTATTAAAGGGAACAAGAAACGTTTTTAATTGAATTTGTTACACGTGTACTGTCAAGTGAACTCTTCAATCAATTAAAATCCCCAAGGTCATGTTTTGACATATGTGTTACTTTGAGATAAATAATGCAATTTGAATGCTTTTGTTATTTTGAAATCGTCACAAATATCATAGATTCTTGTTTGAAGTCGTCTATCTGTGTCAATATCGAGAAAAGGATCAAGATACGAAGCCACTAGAAATACCCTAAAATTTGTATGACACGATGAACATTAGAATATAAGTCAATAGTTCAAAAAAAAATAATCCCCGATAAAATAAAACAGCATTTGCGCTCGCCATGCATCATCTACTACCAAAGCGTAGTTTGAAACGACTAAAACACATGTTTATTAAAACAATGAAAAATAATTCCTTAAAGTAAACGTCTTTTGTTGTCCGTTATCTATCATTGAGCGTCATTCAAACAATGTGCTTGATCCACTTATATAGAGTGTTCATTCACTTATAGGGTCTTTGCATCGGCACTAAACACATTTATTTAAAAACCAGTTGTTGGCATGACACGGGTTATGTTCTTCTCATATATGTTATGATGGTATGATACTAAACCCCTAACGGGAAGGATTGTGCCTGATATTCATATGATGAAGACATAATCTTTCAATCAGTTTCATTGAAGTCTGGAGCTGGCATGTCAGTTAACTGCTAGTAGTCTGTTGTTATTTATGTATTATTGTCATTTTGTTTATTTTCTTTGGTTACATCTTCTGACATCAGACTCGGACTTCTCTTGAACTGAATTTTAATGTGCGTATTGTTATGCGTTTACTTTTCTACATTGGCTAGAGGTATAGGGGGAGGGTTGAGATCTCATAAACATGTTTAACCCCGCCGCATTTTTGCGCCTGTCCCAAGTCAGGAGCCTCTAGCCTTTGTTAGTCTTGTATTATTTTTAATTTTAGTTTCTTGTGTACAATTTGGAGTTTAGTATGGCGTTCATTATCACTGAACTAGTATATATATTTGTTTAGGGGCCAGCTGAAGGACGCCTCCGGGTGCGGGAATTTCTCGCTGCATTGAAGACCTGTTGGTGGCCTTCTGCTGTTGTCTGTTCTGTGGTCGGGTTGTTGTCTCTTTGACACATTCCCCATTTCCATTCTCAATTTTATGTTATCATCAATTGTAAACGAAGAAGTGTTTACAGAAATCACAATGTCGTTATAATAATAATCATTGTCATATTCAGACTCACGAATATTTGCATATTTAATAGCAATAAAAAAAATTGTTCTTTTATTGAATCTTCCACGAGTTCTTTCTTCAACCTCTATTAGATATTTAGTTCATCAAGAATCCTATTCTCCGTGCTTTAATTTTTCCTTCTGAAAAAGGAATGAGTGAAAACATTAATATTGTAAAAGACGATAGAAAAAACAAACACATTGATTATCTAGTCCAGTACTGAAGTTTTCTTTTACATAAACTAAATGTATTTTGTGAAAAATCTAAAATTATATATTGTTAATATACTTTGTCTGAGTTAGAAGACGTACGTTGTTTGGTGTGTTTTAGAGGATAAGTATATGGGAACTGTCCCCGTTAACCAATCAATTTGATTTTATTATCAATAGAATATTTAAGATTGAACATTTTATTGAGATTTATTACAGCCAAGAAATGAGTGAGTTTCATTTTAACTACATTGGTTTACATTTCAGTGTCCATTTCAACATCTGATCTCTGGTTCATTAAAAAGACCTCATCGATGTTTTTTTTTTATATTTGATAATTCATGTACAAAAGAGAGGCGAAAGATAACAAAGTGATAGTAGAATTCATAAGTCGAAAACAAACTGACAATGTCATGGCAAATTTCAAAAAATAACAAAAACACAAACAACAGTACACAGAACACAATATAGAAAAACTAAAAACTGAGCAATACGAACCCCCACTTAAAACCAGGGATGATCTTAGGTGCTCCGGAAGGGTAAGCAGATCCTGCTCCATCCATCGTGTTACTCCTATTAAATACGTTGATAAGTTATATCAATGTTGGGCATCACAAAAAAAAAGGATTGCTAATTGACTCTTATCTAAACTAAAATATGCAACTAAAGATTAACTTAACTACCACATACCATGCTCTGACTAAATCATTCTCATATCCATGGCTGTCTCTATATAAATGGCTATTATGAAACCGCAAATCAATCTTCTTCTTATTTTCCTGTATCTTTCTTCTGTTAATGAAGAGTACATCCAAAAAGATTTATTATAAGTCAGGGCTTATCACACACGGGTACAAATTAAGCATGGAAAAGATGGCTTTTATTACACGGGCACACTGAAATTCCACAGTGACTTTAAAAGTATTCTCCATAATATAACACTAAAACACTTCTACCATAAAAGTACGTATGGTTTCAAAAAGTTATGTTTGTAAAAGGTAAAAATTTCAGATTGAATTTTTTCAAAACAAAATTATTATTAATTTGATGGTTCCGTCGTCAACACAACATAGAAAGACAAGGCCATTAATACTACTGTCATTCTAGCAGGCATGCTAAGCCACACAGATTCAGCTTGAATAATGCTATATTTTAGCTTTCCAATGTCCAAGCACTAAGGTGAACATTTATAATAACATCAATTGATTAGTCAGAAAATTTAGGACTAGATACAAGTTATTCACTATCACTTACTTGTGTTTATTGAGTTAAATCTCTTAACATACAGATCGAAGCACATCTTACGAGATATATCGTTCATTAGCGCGATATCGTGAGGAAAATATTCTCCAGTAAGTTTTCTGCAATCTGTAATTAACTGGCTGATAATGTCTTTATTTCGAAACTTATTCCACTGACTACTTCCAATTTTAAGGACAAAATCTTATTTATTGCATCCATAATGATTTCAACGGATACCCTCTAGAGCTGGATATCTGATAATAAAGTGAATGCAATTTTCGTCTTCAATTCGACAGATCGGACAGATTGAACATGTTGAATCTACATTGTTTATATTAAAATTTGACTCGTTTGCTTGTAATATATAAGTTCCAAATATAATAATAGCTTTAACAAGTGCTCTTGTTATCTTTCCTGGTTAATTTTGACCTGTTTGCTTGTAACATGTAAATTCCAGTTAGAATTCAAGCATGAGCACGTGCTCTTTTTGATTCTCCTGATACATTCAAAGCTGTGTTCCAAACTGGATGAGTTTCTCCAATATTTATTAAGTTTATTTAAAGCCGATGAAGGTTTATTTTTTGAGAAATTTCTGTTTTCAGCCATTCATTTCAGAATTCGGTGATTGCAGATCTTGATGTATGTTTTCAATTAATTTTGGTTGGTGTGTTTTCCCAAAGTTCCTCTTTTGAAGCGAATTATATTTTTCTATAAAAGATTCCGTTCTTTCTAGAATAATCCCTTTATTAATTTGGAGACGATAATGTAGTAGTAGAATTTCCTTAGTCTTTGATTTTCCGAAATTAGAATAGCCTCAGTTGTCACTTATAAAGCTCAGTCTCGAGAAGAAGAGTACCAAGTAAATTAATGTGTAATTTTTGCCTACCCTGTCCTGGTGAGCATAGATTGAAAGTTTCCCAGAAATGGTTAGCTGGAAGTAACTAGTAAGCACATTCAGTTGCCTCATATGTCATGGCAATACCTCTAAGCTGTACAGGAGACAAGGTAATATATATTTTCTAACACGTGGGTTTTATCCACTAGTTTCATGAACGCCTGTTTTAATCAGTGAGTAGAATGTTACTCTAACCAGACAAATTCTTTCATCGACATTCATTATATTTTCGTTTTTGAATGATCTGGTTATTCCTAAATTAGTAGCTTGGTCAGATATTGTGATTTTCGTCTTTCCTATCGATTAAACTTTGATATGTGAATGCATGACAGGAACTGATGATGTATGGGGAATACATTTTCGGACAAAGTCTTTATAATACTAGTAGACATGTAAGACAATGTATTTAAAAACACCTGCTCATTTTTGTTTTCAAGTCCAATATTTGTTTTACCTTCATGTCTTTTCCTGTTTGTTTACCATGAAACAGTGCTTCTGGATAATCGTTTGCAGAACTTACGGATCTCTATGCAGGTACTTCTTTCAAGATATATATACTGTACATGCAGCCGTTCTGAATATTCCCAAATGATCTATCTCAATGACCATATAAATTGTGATCGTTTTGACTTGTGTATTTGCATATAACTAGTATTTTCACATTTGCAATAGTGTATTTTATGATTTGAGTATTTTATGGTCGATCTCTGCTAAAATAAATAATACATTTATAATCAACATCTTCTTTTGAAGATTATGCATGAACGAAAGTCATAAATATTATTGAAAAATGATGTGTTTGATTTTAAAAAACAATATTTTAATCAAATTTCTATTTTTTACAGGGAAAATTATTTTTATCAAGTACAATATGTAGAAGAGAAAATAACTGGTTAACCATTTGAACAGTTTATAAGAAATAAAATTTCAAAATTTTACGCTAGAAAGGTAATAAAGATGTAAGCACTAAACTCATCATAGATACCAGGATTAACATTTTGTACGCCAGACGCACTTTTCTTCTACAAAAGACTACAAAAGGAACTGGAAAATTATGAAAATCTAAAAATGTAACAATGTGACAATAGACCATTATTCATATCATCAGGTCATATTTATAAACCAACCTTTGACGAAACTTTGAATTGTTTGAAATACTTAGGATTGTCTACCACAGTAACAAATTACCTTAGCTGAATTTGACAAAACCTTTCGAAATTTTGATTTCTTAATCCCTTTCAACGTATTACTTAACTGGATTTATTTAACTCGTTTGATTCGAGCGTCATTCATGAGTGTTAGGGAGAGGAAACGTGAGTCTGGCGTACAAAATTATAATCCTGAAAACCGAGGATGATTTTTTTTTGTTTATCAGGACTGTTTTATACCAATGAAAGGAAAATTTTCAAACACCGACACTGCAAAACGGCAAGACAAATCGTGCATATAAAAAATATCTCCGTACTCCTAACAACAAAACTATTATATTTAAATTTACCTGTGTACGTTATTTTATTCAACGCCATTTTGTCCAAGGTTATAGTTGTCTTTTTGACATTGTGTCATTGATCAAATGTATTCGTTCAGTGTATGTTTTTGTAAATATGTCTTTTTGATTGAGTTAAGCAATTTCAATTGATATTTTATAGTGTGTCTTTCTATGTTGTAATGTTGCACTATTATTTCAGGTTAGGGTGAAGGTTGGCGCCTGTTGAAACGTTTAAACCCACTGCATTTGTCTGCACATGTCCTAAGTCAGGAACCTGTTTCAGTGGTTGTCGTTTGTTGATGTGGTTCTTAAGTGTTTCTCGTTTCTCGTTTTTTATATAGATAATAGACCGTTGGTTTTCCTGTTTGAATTGTTTTACACTAGTAATTTTGGGGCCCTTTATAGCATGCTGTTCGGTTTTAGCCAAGGCTCAGTGTTGAAGGCCGTACTTTGACCTATAATTGTTTACTTTGTACACATTGTGACTTGGATGGAGATTTGTCTCATTGGCACTCATATCACATCTTCTTATTTCTATATAAAGTTTGCATTAACAGACTACTCAGTCTGTGTTGCTTTCGGTAGGACAGGCAGGATATTTGAAAGAAATTGTATGATAAGTAATTTATAAGTTAAAACTGATGATTAAGAAAACAATTTGACCTTTCGAAAGATTGACTAAGAAAAGCCAAATACACAAGAATCGAATCTAGTCTTACCTAGATAATATCCTTGAAATGAATTTCTTTCCTTTCCTTATTTCCACGAACTTACATTCTGTCATCCGTTTTACATGCACAACCCAAGGGTCACACTCATTTATTCAGGGCTCTAGGTTGCAATTACAATAATTACACACTACTTTTAGTTTTTCTCTTGCAATGCATTCTACAAAAAAGTAATTTTACCTGATTCATCATTATTATCACGTACTATCGTCGTCGTCGTCATCATTATTATAGTATTCTGTATGTCTTAAATGTATACTTTAAATGTAAATAATTCTTTGAACACAGGTGATCATACTTATCAAGACAAATTGTTCTTCCTCTTAAACACTATTAAGTTATTGTGACATTTTTCCTTTTCGTTAAATTCAAGATTACTTTAATATTAATGATTGATCAACAGTGAATAAATAAACAATTTGAAAGAAAACATAAATAAATTATATACTTTAAAACTAGAACATAGCATGAAATTATTCGTACTACCATACATATTTTTTCTGTACACAGATTGTATAAAAGGTGGTTATTCTTTTAGGAATATGCTTTTTATTACTCAACATAAAAGATGTTTTATCTTTTTCAAAAAAGTTTTTTTTTCTAAACATAGAAATTATATACAATGCATGTTTTTAGCATTTGCAATGAAAATATATGTTTGCATTACAACATAAACCTAGAAAGAAACCAGCTTTCGCAAGTGCTTCTGCTTTTTTACTCCCATTATACTCTTCCGATAACTTGAATGTTTTGATTCTGTGTTCTTCCTCTTCCATATCTGGATTTAAGGGTTTGTAAATCTGTAATAACATAAAAGATAGGTACACTATATAAATTTCTTTAATTAATGTGTGGTAAATACTGTAATACTTAATACTTAAGTACTGTTTATTTATATAGTGATACATGTACAGCGTCAAAAATATATTACTTATAATCAAGTTTTCATTAATCAAAACATGTATGCAAATAATGTTTTAATATGCATATAAATTGACGCACAGGTTTTGGAAATGTTGTGCAAATATAGTTGAAATTCTTAAGAATTCACATTCTAATTAAAATAACTGATTTGTTCAATTCATTATTATTTATGGCTTGTTTTCGACATATGTAGTCAACCGTCTCAGTGGTCTCGTGGCAGAGTGCTTTCCACGAATGCAAAAGGTCATGTGTTTGATTGGGATCGGGTCATATCATAGACATGAAAATGGGTATTTGCTACTTCTGTGGCAAGCATGCTACATTTAGGTATCAGAATAATGGGTCACGATAGGGTTACAAGTCTTCAAGCAAGCTGTCACCTTAGCGTTTCGATTTAGAACAAACAGGATTCATAATCTTATCTCATTTATATTTGCTCATCCTTATAATCATGTTATATTTACCGCTAGATGTTATATACTAACTACATCATCAACATCATCATCAATATATAACGTAGTCGGTTTGCTGATTTTTTAATCTTTTTACTTTGAAATTCTAGATACGAGTATTTCTACATGTTTAAACATCCATGGCTTTCAAAGGTTTTTGTTTGAGTGTCCCTGATGAAGGTATAGATAACAAAAGTGTTATTTTCTTTTACTCTATATATCACTGAGTCGATACCACTGATGTTTGACAGTATATCCCCTAGGGTACCATCGGCTCAGTTGTCAGTGCTTCGGTACTGACATGATTTCTTACATATTTTTTTCTTCAGTTTCCTGTTAAAACATTAAGTCAATAAATTATATAAAAAAAACTAAGGATCCAAGTTCCAAGTCTCCCAGTCAAAGTTGACCGGGAAAAAATGAATGTTCTCTGTATTTCTTTCTTTGGTCATAAAGATTCTCGCGTTTCTACATCCCCGGCTTTTGATTATTTAGTTTTGAGCTTTCGTGATGAAGGTAAATCCAGAAAAGATCATCAGACGAACGAAATTCATAAAAAGTTATTTTCGTTTACCTTTCTCCACTCTTTCTGTACATCCCTAATATATTCCAAGCCTTTTGACTTTTTCAGAAATATGCACCCAGGACAATATTTAGCATGGACTATCCAAGGATCTTCGTTTTTTTCCCATTCCGCAACCCAAAGTCCACAACAAAAACAAACAGTATAGTCTGACCAACCTGTGGTAATTTTATGAATTTTCCTTGATATGAATCAGTTTAATATGCATGATATAAGAGTTACAACAATTATAATGCATCGTCTCTTTATTCGATGCTTAAATAAATATTTTGAATCATATATTTTCAGCCAATGTATGTAGCAGTTTAATCTTGGTTTCTGTTATATTCTTCCCATTTCAACTATACTTCGCGTCATTTTCAGGGAAAAAGTTACTTTTAAGACAGAGTTTTTTTTCATTTTACCTTATGTCGAGGGCAAAAAATAACGAAAACAGCTAGATCAGAGAGGTTAAGAAAATGGTTATATTTGTAGGTGTCCACGGATGATTTCATGATACAATAGACATTCCTCTTTAAACAGAATATACAATTGATACAGAAAATGTCCTTTGATGTTATTTCACATGCAATTGACTTTTGAATCTTTTTTGATTTCACAATACTGCGCTTCCTGCACATGTTGAATTTATTCCTATTAAGACGAGTTAAAGAAGCTAAAACATTATACCAAAGTTACCATTACTAAATATAAAACCAGGTTTAATCCACCATATTTCTACATAAAGAATTGCTTGTACCAAGTCAGGAATATGACAGTTGTTTTCCATTTGTTTGATGTGTCTGAGCTTTTAATTTTGTCATTTTATAAAGGACTTTTCGTTTTGAATTTCCCTCGGTATTTTTGCTATTTTACTTTTTGTTAAGATATAAATAAGTCAACTCATCAGAAAGGGTGATCTGGGGTAAATGTCAATGAGAAAACAACCAAACGACAAAAAGAATTAAAAGATGTCTCGGAGAAAATACAGATGTCTGTACAATATGTTAATCTCCATCGTGCAAAAATACAACGAGGCATATGACGATGTAGATAGAATCAGTGATGATCAAGATTAAAATCAGGTTAAAAGATGCAAAAAGTTATTTCAAATCATAGCAGTTTCTTTTGGAAAAACTTAAAACAGGTTGCTCGCAAATTTTTCAACCAGCTTAACTTTCTTCCCCGTTTTGGCTCGTAGAGTTTATTTTCCAATCGCTTATCCTCTTTCATTCAGAAAAGATTTTAGAAAAAAATGTCGGTCCATGATAACCGATTAAACATTTTTCTTGTCTTACTTTTTTCGTTTTCCTTGTCATTTTTATTCATTTACTCATTTTTGCTTACCATTTGCTTAAGTAAAAGTTGTTCAATTTCGATAGTAGATTATTCAATTATATGTTATAGCCATACCTTTGTAGAAAAATCCTGCATCGACAAGACTCACGTATGATTGGGTGTCGCCATAATGCTATTTGCCAAACGAGGAAACACGTTCAAACGAATTTTCATATTTTGGATGCAAATAATTTCTATTATATAAGACATTATTTGTTATGAACTGAGCTTGTGACTTAGCTAGTTCGCAATTTGGACTCAGATTACAATGTGCTTCCGTTGGCGTCTTTCCTCCGATCCATTCAAGATATGAAGTCCTAGTTTCACACGTCTCGCAGTAAAGTAAGTCTAATTTCCCAGTATATGTAAACCCGGCTTCCAAAATTTCTTTTGGTCCTCCATATATCCATTTGGCAAGTGAAAGTTGTCTTTCAAACGGACTGCTCATTTTTATTGTTCTTCGTGTGAGAATTTCATCAATTCGAAGTTTATTTACCATTGAGAAACTATTTCCATATCTATTGATATCGTTTGCAAACTCTGTGTTAATTCTGTAATTAGGTTCTGGTTCATTTTTGTTATTCGTTTCTGTTTCAATTATAGAATTGATTTTCGATTGATTTCTTATACATTGATCTTCCGAACATTTTCTCTTTGCGTGATTTTTTGTTCTTGTGTTAAAATATCGTTGATTCTTGATGAAATAACCCAAGAACAATCGAAATGCTAATTTTGTTCGATTACGCTTGAAAATGAGATAAAAGCACTTTTTAATTGAATGTCTTAAAATATTTTCAACACGGTGTTGAATAATCTTCAATTTGACATACTGTTTTAAAAGAGAATACTGTTTTTTGTTTGAATATTCTTTTCCAAAGTGATTCATATCCAAATAAGTCGTTACTTTATAAAATCTTAGACCAGAATCAACTTTTAGAATCCGATTGATCATCCATTTTGACTTTCTGAACATTGACTTTCTGTCATTTTGACTTTCTGAATCTTGTTCATGCTGCCTGTTGTACAAGTTTCATTTCATTCTAAAATTCATTTTTACTAGCAACAATTAGTATTTTCAATTGTACAATGTGTTTGATGGGCGTTCCTTACATTTTAGGTCAGCAGGTCGGTTTAATATATATTATGCAGATGTGATTGTTGACTGGTTAGACCTCGTGCTTGTAAATACTTTTAATACAGCGTACTTTATTATATATTATTCTGAAAATGAATGGTGAATCAATTTAGGTTTCACTAATTAAATGATAAGTCATCTAAATATTTATAAGATTCATTTAGTTGATTTTCACTTTGAATGATTAAAAATGAGAAGATATAGTACGGTTGTCAGTGAGACAACTGCTCACAACGTACATGTAGTCCGGCAGATCGGTGGGTTTGATGATAAAGGCATCAAATTTGACATGGTAGTAGTTCTGGGTGTTTCAAACAATATTAGCTATGGACCGACCTTTAAATTTCAATATGGCGGCTTTTTTCAAGATGGCTGCCATAAAATATCAAAATCAACATATATCACCTTAATTAGGTCAAAATCAATGCCAAATTTGGCATGATAGTAGTGCGGGTTGTTTCGAAAAATATAAGTCATGGACCCACCTTGAAATTTCAATATGGCGGCTTTTTCCAAGGTAGCCGTCTCAAAATATTAAAATCAACAAATATCACTTAATAATGAAATACAAGTTCAAATTTGAAATGTTAGACGTGCTAAATGCTTCGAACAATATTACCTATGGACCCCAGTTGAAATTTCAAAATGGCGGCTTTTTCCAAGATGGCCGCCATAAGATATCAAAATCAACAAATATCCATTATATAAGGTTACAAAGTGTTTTGTTTTGAGGAACCTTCAGTAGAACCAAGTGATTTTGATACCAAGTGTATGTCACATTTTTATACTAAAGCCAAACATCAAAGATTTGTGAAGTAAGTATAGAAAATCGTAACTGCGGTACCATTCTTGCAGAAATGTAGTCTACAACGACGGATTACGTATGGATACTGGCGTTATTCCAATATTTAAGCTAGACTTAACTAGAATGAAAACAGTTTTCTTTATGATCAGGTTGAACAGGACAAAGTAATGATCTAATCAAAATTGTAGTAATTTGAGGCTTGTCATGCCATTAACAAGGCAGTTGCTTACTTCTTCTTTTCAATGATTATGTTTGTGTTGCAATTAAACAGGTGACCGCAACAATCTTCTTGTACGACAACAATACGTGAACAAGCTGCACATACAGGTAGTTCAAAAAGACTAGATGCAGGTAAAACTCTTTTCCATAGTCATCAAAAACATTAGTTATTAATCGTTTGTGCAAATATTCAGATGCAGTCGTATTATTCTATTGAGGCAAATACGACGCCATCCATTTCGAAGTAACTTCTGTTTTATTCTTCTAAAATACTACATTCAACTGAACTAAACCATCTAGTAATGTATATGACCCGTCTACTGGATGCTAGGACCAGTAAAGGAGGTACTAAATGACAAAACGTACAGTTTACATTGATCGTTTATGTATGATCCAATTATCCATTTATCTGCAGTACACGAAGATTCCATCTATGAAACATTCAGTATTGAATATGTGGATCCTTTCACGAATCCTGCTGATTTAGCAACAGCAGCCGTGGACAATATTGACAACAACAGGAGTTCAACTTCGGCTAAAGAATCATCACACTGTACGAACATTTCCATATTTTTGCATTTTTTTAGTCTAACTTGGCTTATTCTTCATAAACAATAATGCTTTAAAATATATGCATTTCTCTTATTTTCTCTGATACTATGATAAATATTACTCCAATATATTACACGCCAGCACAACTGTTCGTATCATTGCTATAACTTAGTAACTAATAATATAAGTATAGAATAAGAATATATCCTATAACGAACCAAATATAACCATGCGTTTCATACTAACATCTGTTAATAACCGTATTATGAACATGCACTCTGTCAATTGTCTAACCAGAAATACATTTATGCCAACCTGGTATAATTAGTCAATTGTGCATCTCTATCTTACATGGTATACAAATATTAACAAAATGATTACACAGATGGCTTAAAGGAGATGATAATGAAAACATTAAGCATGTCTGGACATCATTCCATGCATGTAGAGCCAAGACAAATGGTCATCTGCCTTTATTTATCAGTCCGCATTGAACATTGTTTCTGCAAGAGATCAAATATGTCACTACGATTCGACATTCCATGAATACAATTCAGCAATGTGTTAATTGTTTTCCGTGACATGTATCAATTATCACCTGTGATCAATCGGATTTCTTTTTTTTTTTTGCCAAATCGGAACAGTGGAACTGGCCAAACATATCTTAGGAGAACAAAGAGTAGTTTTGCTTTAGGTATTCATATAGGAATGGCATCGTTGAGAACCTTATAGTGATTGGTTAGAAAATAGTTATTGAACAATCAAGGACACATAGTACTTCATGAACAGCAGATTCTTTTAGAGGCTCTCATGCATCATGAACATGACATTTCCGTGAGGTTACAGTAGGTGTACTTCTCATTCTTATACAAAGATACTAACATAAATTTTACTGAGGAACGGGAACCTGGTGAGAACTATGTAACATTTAAAGAATGGAGTAATGAGGGGAAATTGAGTCCACTTAGCCACAACTGGTCTGTAACATTAAAGATTGATCTGAACATTTTGATGTGAGATCATCAAGAGAATGTTCATTCTGGGTGTATATAGGTGTTATTAAACTGCTTATTCAGTTGTTGTTTGCATTTCCCATCATAATTATGGCTCCTAGTAACCGTGTGTGATATTATGCGATTAAACAATACAGTTCAAGTGTTGCAAACGTAATTTGAAAATGATAAATGTAAATCAAACCATGAGTAGAATTCCACACTTGTAAGAGGAAAAAGTTGGGCAATCGGATTGAGCGTTAATATGGCACAAATATAGCACATATATATGGTGTCTTGTCCAGAAATGGCTATAGTAATTAACAAGTTTTAATTAACCTTATAAGCATATGAAAGCTTTAGGTTGGGGGATGTTTTGGCCTTCTATCCCGAGTGCTATTTCGAGTGAATGCGGATGGCATTAACCATACTGGACATTTATCACAAAGGTATCAGCATTTTGGAATAAGCTAATAAAATGTGGTTGAAAGATATCAAAACGGTAGATAAAAATGCGAGCACAATGATGTTATGTACAGTGCTGTTTAAAATGTGGTGAGGAGTTGTACAAAGACTACACGGGCTGTTCTTAATTTTGAAAACTGCTGTGAAGATATGTTGTTGTTAAGATGGTACGAAAGATGAAGAAGACACTTAGGCACTCAAAAAACATTAGAAAAACAAAACCAGACAATAGCATGGATAAAAAAAAACACAAAAGACTAATATCAGTCTTCACAAAAAATTCGGAAATTAAGCAACACCAACCCCTTGACTCATGTCCAGTATCACCAAATTTAATACATATTGGTGTATGTAAAGTATCTAAAATTTGACCAAATATGAAAGTTTGAAATGAAATAAGGTTTTCCATGCCAGTACGATGAATAAACACGACTTTCACTGGTTTACAACTCAGACATAAAAATAAAAGAACAATAAATAACACAAAATTTACAGTATAAACAACACGAGTCCTTTCTCGTCAAAACTAGGGGTCAACGCAGGTGTTCCAGAAGGGTGTGTAGTTTCTTGTCAACTGTTAGCACGAGTGGTGCTACTTATTGCAAGAAAAAAATTAGCGATGAGTCGTATTTATTGATCATCTTGATCTACAGTCGAGGAAAAAGAAAGGATTGTGGCAAGGAAAAGTGGAACATATAAATTATCGTTTGTGACTCAGATGGTACACAGTCAAACAAATCCTAAAGGCATCCTACAAACGTTCAAATGTTTCCACTTATGGGATCTTCGATTAAATTGTCTTGCAAGCAGTATCGATGTATCATGGAAACACAATCCTCAGAATATCGTATGAATTGCAAAATGCAATTCGATGAAAGAAATGTTTTGTTCATTTTCACTTTTTGGCGGCCATTTTTAATTTTTCCGCTATTTGAAAAAAGTTTTAAAGTCTAATATACCGCCATGACTTACTGAAACGAAAATTTACATTTCATATGCTTTTTAAAGATTCGATTTGAATATTATTTTCTTTAATTTATACATGGTGGTGAAATTTTGACTGATTGGCAGCCATATTGAAATTGGCCGTCATATTGGTTTTTTCAGAGTGGGTCCATAGCTTATATTGACTACCATATATAGATCTATATCTACAATTGTGCAAAGTTTCATGCTTTTATCATCAAACCCACAATTCTTCTAAAAATATGCACGAATCGGCTGGACTAATGTATGTTAACAAGCATTTTGTGAGTATTGCCTGGTAATACATAGTCCCCTACCGGTTAAAAATTCATTGTACTGGAACAAAATGCTAACTTGATCTATAACTTGTCATGGTGTAAACTATATAACAAATATCAAGTCAATATCTTCAAGCATGCCGAAAAAAATGTAGAAAACTGATTATTTGAGTGCATTTTCTAAGTCCAAGGACCATAATTCTGCACAAAATCATCAGAACGGAACAAAATTCGAACTTGATCTGTAACTTGTCATGATAAAACTATATACTAGTTATCAAATCAATTTCTTTAAGCATAACAAAAAAAAAGTGCGGAAAACTGATTATTTGACTTAATTTTCTAAGTTCAAGGACCATAACTCTGCACACAATCGTCAGACCGGAACAAAATTCGAACTTGATCTGTAACTTGTCATGATAAAACAATACACCAAAATATCAAATCAATATCTTCAAGCACGAAGAAAAAAAGTGTGGAAAACTGATTTGTCGGACTGACGGATGGACAGACAGACAGACAGACAGACAGACAGACAGAACAGACAGACAGACAGACAGACAGACAGACAGACAGACAGACAGACAGAACAGACAGACAGACAGACAGACAAACAGACGGACGGACGGACGGAGTGCAAACCTAAAGTCCCTTTCGACTTCGTCGGTAGAGGACTAACAACAACAGTCATCGTGCAGCATTCATAATTTGAAAACTATGGTAAGATAGTAATCACAATCACAGGGACTAGGTTAGCACATTAAAACCTTTTAAAGCAATGTGTTTAATTCTGTTCTTTTTTTTTCGTTTTTTCTGTCGGTTTGTATTAATTACATTATTAACTTATCTAACTTTGGCATCAATCTTTCTTTTTTTTCTAGCTATGTTTACTCTCCATATCCGTATACTGAAAAATCCTAAAGGGATCTTAGTCGCCATTTTGAATAACCTTCCCTTATTTCAATAAAAAATAGATTAAAATATTTCAATGTGACTATATATCTTACAAAGGCATTCATTTCATTCCAAAATTATTCTTCTATAAGAAGCATGTATTTATTTCCGATCGACGACACCCGTTTCATTCAGGTCAAAATATCTAATTGTCCCGTTGGAGGCAACGTAACTGGCAAACGTGTCGTTTTTCAACAACATACACGAAATGGGAAATAAATCTGTCATTCGGCAACTTCCTGGTTGATACATTTATTACAACGTTAATCCCTCAAAAAAATTGAACGCAAATTTCTTCAAAACAATCACTGCATGTGTAGTTGCAATGTCAGATTATCCTAGTACCCTACCCCACTGAAAATATCAAATGATTGTCCCTAAACTATCAGTTTTTTCATGAGGGAATGTGACTCTCTGGCCAGACATCGTTCCGATAGTAACCACATCAAGAAATTCAAATGTGACGTCACCCTTTTTTTTTTTTTTTTTTTTTTTTTTTTTTTCTTTTTTTTTTTGCGTTGATCTCTTTGGCTAACTCGGCTGTGAATTTTTATGTGCTGGTTTATGTTGTTTTATGTATCCGTTTTTATTCTGTAGTTAGTCACCACTTCGGTGTTATCATGTTGTATATCTATTATATAGTCATTTTTATAAATTTACTGTTTGCAAAAGTATGAATTATTCTAAATACTAAGGATTTTCTTATCCTAGACATATAACCTTAGCCGTATTTGGCACAACTTTTTGGAACTTTTGGTCTTCAATGCTCTTCAACTTTGTACTTGTTTTGGCTTTCGTACTTTTTTTATCTGAGCGACACTGGTTAGTCATGTGTGGACGAAACGCGCGTCTTGTGTGTTAAATTTTAAACCTGGTACCTTTTGTTAGCTATTATTCGTATGTTTCTCTGTCCTATATGTTCTCCCATTTATTTGTATTGTAGTCCTGTCATGTAATGTTGCCATTTTAATGTTACATTTAACATTGCCATAAAAGCGGGAGGTTTGGCTAGCCACAAAACCAGGTTCAACCCACCATTTTTTTCTTAAAATGTCCTGTACTAAGTCAGGAAAATGGCCATCGTTATATTATAGTTCGTTTCTGTGTGTGTTACATTTGAATGTTGTGTTTCTGTTGTGTCGTAGTTCTCCTCTTATTTTGATGTGTTTCCCTCAGTTTTAATCGATTTATGAATTTCGAACAGCGGTATACTACTGTTGCCTTTATTTAGTATAGTATATAAATCCTTGACCATGTCAATTATTTACAATGACTACTCTATTTTAGTGGTAAACCTTGCAAAAAACCAGTGAGTTATCTTCCCCCATCTGCAGAAAGGTTTTCTTCGTTTGCTTTTAATTTTTTGATGGATTTTTATTCCGCGCCTAACTGAGTCCCTGTGATGACAGTATTTTTCAGTATACGGATATGGATAGTAAACTGCACATTGCTAGAAAACAAAAAAATATTAATGTCAATGTTGAATACGTTAATATTGTAATACAAATAGACAGGCAATACGTAAATAAAAACAAAAATGAAGCAATTTTAACTACTGTAACAAAACTAACGACCTGACTTCAGTTATAAACTGACGACACACGAGCAAATGGCAACTGAGTGTGTTTATTGTATATATCTTTTGTTCAATAGTTCACTGAGCGAGACTTAAAAGGGAAAGCCTAATTGAGAGGTAGGGCCACCTTCTCTAATTGCACAGATCCATGTGGTTCTAACAAGAATAGCATGGCTTATGTCTAAACAGATGAAAGCACTATTAACATCTGAAGGTGTTGAATAACATTTAAATTCTATAAATATGTAAAAAATTGTTGAAAATTTCTTAAGTATATGATATTATATTAATAACTATTTGATATAAAATTCAAGAATAATGTAATTGACACATGTTATATGTTGATCCTACGAATGAAGCAAATACATTAATGTAGTAATTGGCAATGCCTCTATATGTTAGGGAGCTACCATTTAATTTTTATGGGGGGGGGGGGGGGGGGGGGGCTAGGATGAAATTTGAAAAAAGGCATGACAGGAGTTTTGAGTTAAAAAAAAAGGCAGGATGAGCAACTTGCAGGACAAAATTTTTCATCCTAGCCCCCCTCCCCCCCCCCCCCCCAAAAAAAATCAAATGGTAGCTCCCTTACAACTTTTTGGTCGGCGGCTTTGTTAGATTTATTTGTATTTTGTTTGTTTCAATCTTTTTTTGTTGGTTGTGTTGTACATCTGTGATGTCTGTTTAAACAGTTTTTGCTGCTGGATCCTAATTATAGTCGCATAAACGTATGTAGTTTGTCTCTTTCGTTTGCTCACCTAATTTTGTTAATATAATGGAGCTATAAACAACTGTCATACAAGCGGGATGTTTAGCTAGCTATAAAATAAGATTTGACCGACCATTTTCTTCAGAAAATGCCTGTGCTGAGTCAAGAATATGACATATGTTTTCCACGTTGGTTGATAACGTTTGATTTGGTCAGTCTTTTGTACTTCCCTTTTTGAATTTACCACCGAGTTCGTTTTTTTGTTATAAATTTTTTATGTGTCTGTGTTTTGTCAGGAACTTAACTAGTGGTTGTCTTATGTCATATCTCATATCTTAATTATTTTTTGTTCGATGATTTGGTGTTGGTGACAGATTTCAGTACTATTGTTTATTCATGCTATTTAAAGCTTGAGTATTGTATAAATACCGTTCGATTGTCGAAGATTTTGAATATATTCACATTTGACGTGTTAACATGACGACATTCACATATGACGTGTTACCATGACGACAAACAAGGTATAAGAAGCTTTGGAACAATATGTCAAAGTGTTTACATATTTGTAGAAGTGAGAATAGCCAATGCAATAAGTCCATTTTGCAAAGAAGCTGATCTGTTTTCAGTTCTGAATAACTAGTCGAGTATTTCGCAACAGATTATGGTTAAATTGATTTTAATGTTGCGCACCGTAACCTTGATATAACCAATATAAAAATAAGAAATGATTCAGTTGATATGGCCTATATATATGCCTTTGTAGGGTTTCCGCTGGCACCATTTTCGCATTTTGCGAAAAAATAAAAATTGTGGCGATTAAAATTCGTGATTGGCGTAAGAATTTGGCGAAAAAATATAACGGTTCGACTTCGTCCATTTTTCGGGTTACTCGGACTTTTTCCTTAATCAGACAATACTGGAAATTCACCTTGAACTCGGTACGATTTGACGATTTTGATAGAAAATCAATAATCAGCTGGTTGCATTTTATAGCTATCGACAACAAAGGATTATAATTAATAAAAAGTGTTGATTTTATTGTTTCATGAAATGGTGTGGTTGAATGGCTTCGCATATGTCACTTAAAGGATTGTTTTAGAACTTTCATTGAAATAACTGTTTTGAAGTGGGTACTTTACCACGTTTTAGCGACGTACGTGTTTCAAACATATTTTACGTCTCCTCTTTTTTTTTAACGATGGTCTGGAAAAAAAACGAAAAATGTTCAAAAGTAAGAAAAATCTCTGACTTTAAATTTGATCCTTTAATTTTTGAAAGAAATAATTGTTTTGAAGTGGGTAATTTACAATCGTTTTAGCTACGCACGTGGTTGAGACATAGTTTTACGTCCAAACTTTTCTTTTAATGATGGTCCGGTAAAGAAAACTATTGTTAAGAAGAAAAATATTCAAAAGTAAGAAAAATTTCTAACTATATATAGATAAGAAGATGTGGTATGAGTCCAATGAGACAACTATCCATCCAAGTCACAATGTGTAAAAATTAAACAATTATGGGTCAAAGTACGGCCTTCAACGCGGAGCCTTGGCTCACACCGAACAGCAAGCCATTAAGGGCCCCAAACAGACTAGTGTAAAACAATTCAAACAGGACAACCAACGGTCTAATCTATATAAAAAACGAGAAACGAGAAACACTTATGAACCACACAAACAAACGACAACCACGGACCAACAGGCTCATATAGTCTTTATCCTTCAACTAGATGGGAAGTATCTTATAAACTATTATACATGAATCCCGTGTTCTCCGGCAGAAGTCAAAAATTATGATTTCATGATCTATGTTGCAATTTTACAGTATCTTTTGAAAACTAAATGTTTGTTATTATTGGGTTTATTCATAACAATGTAGATTAAAAAATAGATATTAAGAATTATAATAGACATAGTTAGTTTTCTCGTTTGAATTGGTTTACATTTGTCATTTCGAGGCCTAACTTATGCGGTATGGGTTTTGCTCATTGTTGAAGGCTGTACGGTGACCTATAGTTGGTAATTTTATGTCATTTGATCTCTTGTGAAGACTTGTCTCATTGGCAATCATATAAAACATTTTCTTATTTTTATATAACAATGTGACAAACTGATTTTATTTTTGTTAGAAAGAAGGTAAATTTTAAACTAGAAATATGTGTTTGTTAGTTGGCGAAAAAAAAATTGAAAGTAGCGAAACATATATTGTTTTGGCAAAAGAGGTGGCGAAAAAGAAAATTGACCCAGGGGAAACCCTTCCTTTGTACGTCACTCGCTTAATTTGAACAGATGTGATGAAATTATTTTGAAAACAATTTTTCTGGGTAAAAGTTTGTTGTAGTTTCGTCTGTTAGACATCGTCTACAATTACATTCAACAGGTTCAAGTAATAACAGAATTTTTAAATTTAGAAAAAAAGCTTCCAGCTGAAGCTCGCCTCCGTGTGCGGGATTTTATCGCTGTGTTGAAGACCCATTGGTGGCCTTGGGCTGTTTTATGCTTTTTGTTCGGGTTGTGTCTCTTTGCCACATTCCCCATTTCCATTCTCAATTTTATTCAGTTTAGACAAAAATGGGAGAGAAAATAAACAAAAATGAAAACACGGAATCATATCTCATACTTTTTTTTTATTTGAATATGAATAAAATGCAATTAACGTCAATGAAACAGCAACCCAATGACAAAAATAACCAAAAACATATAAAGGGCATGCAGATACACTTTTCAACTATAGACAGGACTAGTGTATATAATCAAGCACGTGAATTTCTAAAACTGCCCGGAGTCTTTAAAAGTTGTGAATTCGTTTGAAATTTATCAGGAAACACAAAATCAAACCCAATCAAACAGAACCGATAAAAATATCTGTACTAAAAGGGACATTAGCTACGAGATATAATTTTTTTTTTTGTTCAATCAATAACATGAATAATGAAAGTGAAATAGTAAAATAATAATTCGGGTTTGGCAGCCAGTTTTATTTCAATTTTGTCAAATTAAGCTAAGAAACATCGCTTATGAATTATTGACTTGCAAGTGAATAATTTGACATTAATGAATCCGTATTCATGTGATCTTCAATTTAACCCCTTAGTTGGAGATTAGTTACTCATGTATTCAGCTATGCTATTAAAAGGAAAAGAATGTCAACACTGAAAGTGAAACAAACATGAACCATTTGGTTGACTGATTCGATCCACAAAAAAAGTATTCTTATACAGTTAAAAATGATGATAAACATACTTTTTAACCTACATTATGAAATCAAGCAGACCTAGAAAATCCAATTGCACGTAGTCGCTATATATTTATATTTATATTTATGTTTATATCGGGTCCATGCATTGTAAATTGTTTATTTTAGACTTTTTGTAATTTGGATATACGTTTAAGTATGTTTGAAATCAATATGAGAATTTTAGTCAAATCGGTGAACATGAATTTGACAGGTAATGCCCCTTTAATGATTATAAATCGGGAAAATTGTCTATGCAAGTACATTGAAATATTGAATATTTTTTATATCTAACATATTTGATTCAATCTGAAATAATTATTGAATTTTGCACCGTATTAAAAATCTTATTCGAGTGATGTTTATGGCAATGCCTCCATTCATATCTTTGTATCAATGTCCTAAAAGGTCGATAATCTACCTCATGGAAAAATTCTTTATCTTAATGTCACTAACTGTTAAATAACTGTTAAGCCCCTTATCTTGCACCTCTCGTTTTAATTCATTAATTTTTCTAACGATAAATCATGCATTATTATTATTATTAATTTATTGCTTACTAACACTGGGTTGTTACCACAGCTGGTTGACTATCATTAGCTCAATAGTCAGTGCTTCGGTACTGGCATGATTTATAAAATACTTTTCCTTAATTCTCTGTTGATATCTAGAAGTTATTAAGTTTATACTTGAAATATTTTTTTCAGGTCCCGTTTAATCATAGTTCCTCACGTATTTGGTTATTAGGGACCGCTATATTTATCAGATGGATGGGCCGGTGCAAAATGGGGCGGGGCAAGCACTTTTTTTGTGGAAATATTTGGATGGGCGAGAACTTTTTTTTATATGTATAGTGGATGGGCCAGAACTTATTTTATAGGAAAAATTTTGCTATCAATTTTATCGGAGTGTAGGAAATTTCTTTTGCAGGCACACAAAACATAAAAGACATGGTAGCTTGGTTCATTTCTGTCAATTTTAAGGATTTAATTAAAGAATACAAAAGCTAGAATTTTCTATTCGGACTAATTTCAGATAGTCACTTTTAAATGTTTATATAAATTTTCAAAACCACTTGGATTTTCATATCAATTGTATTTTGACCTTAAAGAAAACCGGGTTGTTTGATAGTTTGGTGTATTGCTGTCAAATTTATGGATTTTATTAATAAGTAAGAAAAAAAAGCTAAAATTTTTAGTTTAGGCTTAATTCAGATAGTCACCTTTTAAAATTTTTTATAACTTTTTCAATTCAACTTGGATTTTCATAAAACTCTACACCTATCTCACTCATATATTGATCTTACAGAATGGGAGTTTAGTGTATTGCTGTCATTTTTATGGATTTAATAAATAGGTTAAAAAAAGCTTAAATGTTCAATTTAGACTAAATTCAGATAGTCATCTTTAAAAATAGGTTAAAAAAAAAGCTTAAATTTTCATTTTAGGTTAATACCAGATAGTCATCTTTAAAATTTTTTATAACATTTTCAAATCAACTTGGATTTTCATATAACTCTACAGCTATCTCATTAACATATTGATCTTACAGAATGCCAGGTTGTTTGGTACTTTGGTTTATTGCTGTCATTTTTATGGATTTAGTTAATAGGTTAATTCCAGATAGTCATCTTTAAATTTTTTTATAACTTTTTCAAATCAACTTAGATTTTCATATAACTCTACAGCTATCTCATTTATATGTTGATCTTACAGAATGCCAGGTTGTTTGGTAGTTTTGGTGTATTGCTGTCATTTTTATGGATTTAATAAATAGGTTAAAAAAGCTTAAATGTTCAATTTAGACTAAATTCAGGTAGTCATCTTTAAAAATTGGTGTAACGTTTCCAAATCAACTTTGATTTTCATAAAACTCTACAGCCATCTCATTTATATATTGATCTTACAGAATGCCAGGTTGTTTGGTAGTTTGGTGTACATGTATTGCTGACAAATTTAGGGATTCAGTGGCAGATCCAGAAATTTTCATAAGAAGGGGCCCACTGACTGCCTAAGAGGGGGCCTGCTCCAGTCATGTTTCAGTGATTTCCTATATAAGCAACTAAATTTTTCCCACAAAAAGGGGGGGGGCCGGGCCCCCTGCCCCCCCCCCCCCCCCCTTAAATCCGCCTTTGGGATTTAATTAAAAGGTAAAAAAAGCTGCATCAAAGTCAAAAACATGTCTGCCTAAATTGCTTTAAAAAGACCATAATTTCTTTCTTGAAAAGTAGAATAGATAGAGTGACATTGTATATTTGAAATATAAGCATGCTTTATTATTAAGACAATAATTGGTAATTCAGCATATGGTAATATGTTTACTAGTCTAAGAGTTATTGTCTCTTAATTTAAATTATTCCCTTTATTTTAAATTAATATGGTATTTTGAAAATTGTATACAAATTGGATAGTTAGTTAATATTTTTTTGATTGTTAACAATAGTTTGAATAAATCTTTATGTCCTATGGTCACAAAAGGGGAAAAAAGTGGTGACCCTCAATTATTTAATAGAACAAAGACGTAAGAAGAGATACATTAAACTGTTTCAAATTTAAGATGACCTCAGATTTCAGAAAAATATAAACTAAGTACATTTAATAGTATGGTTAATATTTCTTCATATGTTTTATGACTTGCATGAATATTGTTAGCACTTCTTAAGCCTCTATGAAAGGCTGGCTGATATAGTATGCTATTACTTATGTCTTGAGATTTAATTGTGATACTGTATCTGAGACTGCACATATAAAATCAAATCTATACATGTATATTCATACTGGTTTTAAAATTAATAAAATGTTTGTTTCTGATACACACATAAATTATTTATACATATATATGTGGAATTAACTAGCACATTTTGAAATTTGTATTTATACACCAAAGTCTATTCTTTGGTTTCCAGACATAAACATGCAAATATTAAAATAGAAAAAGAACCTAAATCATTTTTGATTGTCTTTAAGTTTTAGAGGGGCAAGGACTCTTTTTATGGTTTTTTTTTAGATGGGCAAGGACTTTTTTGCAGAATTTAAAAGGATGGGCATTAACTTTTTTAATGAAGTAATATTAAGAATGCACCGGCCATCCATCTGGTAAATATTGAACGGTCCCTTATTACATCTATTTACTTTTTAATCTGAGAGCCAAAGAAGGTTGGCCGTTTTTGATGAAGGTAAATCCAAAAAAGAGAACGGATTATTAAAGTATTTTCATAACTTTTTAAACTTACTATTTTTAATTTATGTTATAAAATGCATGGCGTTGTACCTCGAATTTATTATTGAAATCATTAATAGAGATTAAGGATTCATTACTGAGTTTATTAAATATATAGATAGCAGAAAAATGTTAACTTCGTTTTCGTTTTTGTTATCTGCCCGCCGTATTAACCTAATTAATGTGATATCTATATTTAGAAATATTCCTCATATGACAGGTTTGTTTTTGTATCAGATGGATGAACGGCTAATTTCAAAATGGGTTTTTGTACTTTCGATATTAATTTTGTTATATGTATTAACTATAATATTCCGTTCTATTCTGCTAAATATTTTACTCTCATTATAACAAGTGTTTATCATATTAAAATATATTGGTTTCTTCCGAAAAAAACTGATGAAATTTTGATTTCCGATGAACTTACTTTCGTTCAGTAAACTTGGTCAACTGACAAGAATTTGTTTCACGTGATCAGCTTCAATACCAAGCATAGGATATTGGTAATCATTTTGTTTTTGCTTCCATACAGTTTATTGAAAAAATCAAATATGAATTTCTTACCTTTTATACACAAAATACAAAAGTCATGTTTTCATATTAAGGTATATGTGTGTCGATATTTAAAAATGTTTAATTTGGGATTGGAAAATTCCACTTTTATAAATAGCTACGTTCTTTAACCCACCATTTATAATTTAAAACGTATTTCCGGAGTATGGACGATATCAACTCAAGGTAGGTGAAATGAATTGGCTGATTTTCTTCATTCAATATAGAATTTAATCAATTCGTTCTTCCCGTATGAAAATAGAGGGAACTACACATTACTTTAAATTAAATATTGTAAACGAGATACTTGTATGTTTCTGTACAGTATGTTGCAATTGATTTACAATGTTTAAAAATATGTTTGTCCAGACGGATGTTGCCATTATAGACTGTTCCGCTTATACTTGTCGACTGGGGTGACCTTCCCGCATTTTTATTTTTGGTTGGTTTTCCCAGAACACTTTTGTTGTAAGTTCTCTTTAAAATAACTGTGTTCATCTTACAAAAAAGAGGTAGTCCGGGAGGTTTAATACTAGTATTTTTATCTTCCTTAATACTGCATCATGCAAAATTTTCCAATTGATATATATATCCATTCATTATCAAAGTACTTCATTTGTGATGGTTTATTTGATGAACTTGATCACAAGTTCGAGCTGGTTCACTTGAGTGTGGTCCATGAGTGTATTTCGACTAAATATATTCACATGACTACCTTTTACAGTAAATTGGTAAGACTATACTCTTGATACTATTTAAACGTCACTACTCAGACGGGATTCATAATCGTATACACTAATTGTCCATATAATGTTAGAAATAAGATTTAAAACCATATTTTTATTGCAACATTGCACCAATAATTGCATTGTATATAAGTGTTCAAAATCATATCAGGTAAAAATACAGATTAGTAATTACTCATCTGATAAATTGCCAATACATTTATAATGTACAGTACAATATTTATTAAGGTTTAAAATTGTATTATATATATCTACGAAATAGTTATAGTCATAGTCCATGACGAACAACTGAAGTATACCTATTTATATTTCTTTAAACGCCTATGCAAAATTATTTTGATTAACATTTCGTACTTTGAAATATGATTTAAACGAATATACTTTATCTATTCTAACAGATTTCAACCTTTTCTGCTTCAGTTAAATTCCAAAAAATGTTCCCTTCGTCGATGTTTAAATAATTAGCATAAATAACCATGTTTATGTTGAAAACGAACACTGGAGAGAACAATTGCTGTCACCCATGTTAAAACACTGGACACGTTTAACAACTTTCTCATTTAACATGTGATGAGTAATGAATGTGTAATGTATTTGCCGCCAGGTATAATATTGATGCAAATAAAAATAGCACGGTCATAGATAATCCTTTTTTTGGAATTCTGTGTCCTGAGCGATATTCGTAATTGGTCGCCCTCTGTTGACTCCTCAATATTTTGTTTAGTTTTATGCAATATTTATCGTTTAGTTTTAAACGTTGACAATAATCAAATGGTGATAAAAATAATCGTAATGTTAAATAAAAAGCTGGTCTTTGACATATTTGGATTTTATTTGAATATTTGAAACTGATTGTGGTTTGACTTTTATCTACTTATATTACACGTATGTTGATATGCTATCAATATTAACAAATTTTAGAACTGGTTTGATTGACGGCACCTAATGAGGCTCAAAAGTAGCTAGAACTTTTAACACTCCATTTAAAAGACTTTTTGTCTTTATATTTCTGACAGTTTCCAAGATAATAGGGAATGATTCCACCATTTAGCAGTGTCCATAGCAATACCTGTATACATCACATAAAATGTATTGTGTCAAGTATGACCGGACAATTTGGACTGTGCAATGAAATTAGTTTTAAACAACATTTTATGAATTCAATTGTTTTAATGTATATTCTTGTTTTGCATTTATTTTATTATTCTGAACTTTGTCGTAAATTTAGGCATAAGTGTTTTACACGGATTATGTGTCATAATCTTGGACAAAGGATTTAAATTCATTTACTCTATTCATTTAATTATACATTCTCTGTAACAGTTTAGACAATAATTTACTTATACGTGTCGGACATTAATTACTCTTCTAATCTATTGTTATTTCTATTTGGCATATGTTAATCATCTTAATCCTTTAATTGCTTGTGCTTATATATATTGTTATTGTTTGTATGTTACTTTACATTTGGTTTGGAGTTTGTTGTTCGGTCTTGCCGGACTGCTAAAATAAAAGTTTAAGGAGCGAAATATTCCTTCTTGATTTCCATTTAGCCGAAACGCCATTTTACCCGGCTATATCTGGTGTAAGAACATCCGGGCAACGCATCTTTCGGATACCTTACTGTACCTGTGAAGCTGACCCCCCAGCAAACAGAAAAATGGATACGCGGAGAACCAGAAATTTTGGCTGAGACTGGAGATACCAGATGTCTGATCATGGAACTACCTTTCAGACAAGAAATTTTCAACATATGGACAACTACCTATGTAAGTTTTGTGGAAAGACTGTGAACAATCAATTTCATTTTAGACAATGTATAGCAAAAACGTCATTTTGTTATAAGTGCAGAAGTTTTGGACATTACGCCAGAATGTGTAATTTTCACAGACAACCGGACGTGAAAGTTGTTAAGGTTAAATCGAAATCCAAGTTACGTCGTGACGCAGAAAGAATGATAAAATTCAAAGAACAGAAAGCTATGTCAATATTTCCTTGTGCGGAACTCAATACTATAGAACTGATGGACTTCTTTCCAACCTTAGAATATGACAAGGAATTTATAGATAACGTTAGACTCAGGCACGACCGAGTGAATTCAGAGAGAGTAAAATTTAAAATCAAAAGTGTACACTATGAGAAGAAGTTTAAAGAGTTAAATCAAAAGCATACCAGTGTTGTTAGCAATCTAGAAAAACTTCAAAAACAAGGTGCAGATGATAAAAAAGATATGGAAAAATTACGGGAACGCATTACTGATCTTGAAGAAGCTAATTTTCGGATTTACGATCAAAGATGTGAAGCAATCGACCAGCAATACCAATTACAACGCGACAAAGAACATATGCGGGATCGAATCACTAAACTAGAAGACGAATTGGACAATTTTCGAAATAATACAAGAGAAGATAATCATCCAAACCAAAACTATCGTTACAGAGGACGGCACAATCACAGAAGAAACTTTCGGAACAATTTTAGATGAACAGTAAGACCCGGGTCGTGTCTTCAAGGGCCGCGGGAATATATGACCGGACAATTTGGACTGTGCAATGAAATTAGTTTTAAACAACATTTTATGAATTCAATTGTTTTAATGTATATTCTTGTTTTGCATTTATTTTATTATTCTGAACTTTGTCGTAAATTTAGGCATAAGTGTTTTACACGGATTATGTGTCATAATCTTGGACAAAGGACTTAAATTCATTTACTCTATTCATTTAATTATACATTCTCTGTAACAGTTTAGACAATAATTTACTTATACGTGTCGGACATTAATTACTCTTCTAATCTATTGTTATTTCTATTTGGCATATGTTAATCTTCTTAATCCTTTAATTGCTTGTGCTTATATATATTGTTATTGTTTGTATGTTACTTTACATTTGGTTTGGAGTTTGTTGTTCGGTCTTGCCGGACTGCTAAAATAAAAGTTTAAGGAGCGAAATATTCCTTCTTGATTTCCATTTAGCCGAAACGCCATTTTACCCGGCTATACAAGCACAATTAATACAGAACAGTCAACTGTCCGTTAGTTCCTTTGGATATATATAATCTATTCTTCAAATTGTATTTTAGAGATGCTTTTACTGACATACGTATTTGTTTTCAAATTTTCATAGAGAATGCTTTGATTTTAATTGTTATTTTCCTTCAAACAACAAATTGAATTACATATTATGTATTATTATTTTATTTATTTTTTAGGGGGAGGGGGGGGTCCATTTTTGTTTTCGTTTCTTCCAAATGTATCTTAACTTCTACATTTAATTTACCGATTGCAGAAGACAGACGTTTCACCAAAATGAAGCCAGAAAATGGATCTATCTCAGCTCAAAGTAAGATTTTCATTATTAAAAACAGCGCATTGGATAGTATCAGTTTAAAGTGATATAACTTAAAATTGATCAATATTATTTTACGTTACTAATCATGACACAGTCATATAGAAACAGACGTTATATACTTGAAACATCTATTTATGAATTTTAACTGTTGGTATCGATATCAGTAAATATAGTAAAAGTGAATAAAAAGTTTCTTCTACAGCAGAATCCGTATAAATTCATTTGAAGGGTTTCGGGTCATGAATATTTAATTTTTTTTCAATACAAAGATAACTTTACTGGTATTTATCATTTCAATAACTTTATTTTAGGTCCAGTCATTTCAAAATCTTTTTATCAGAAGCTATGGGGATTACTTGTATCTACAAAAATCTTTGTACATACAGACATCGAAATAATTCAAGAAGGAGATAACATAGGTTTTCTCGCATATACAGGTAATACATAACTAAAGATTAAGACGTAAAACTATACCGCACCAATACAATAACATTATTCTGTCGAATGAACAAAGGACGCAACGAATGACACATCTCCAGGGTACAGGTAAAAAATGTACCATTTGTAATAAAGTAAATAAGATACAAAAACACTCATATACATGATATAATATATAATATAATATAGTGCAGCTACCAACATGCATGATAACTTACTGTAAAGACAAAGAAATAAAAGACGGCACATAATTTAAAAGCAAAGTCAAAATGAGATCGTTTATTTAGGGAGCTGGCTAATGTAAAAAAAAAAAACTATTGGCGTTTGTGGCATGCCTCACCTTTTTATTTTTCCGGACCAACGCGTAAACACGCAAAATTGGATCCATGTATAGCAAATGTGAAAAAATCACAATCTCACAACAAAGAAACATGATCATGATGATGGAGAACTAGCGCATGACATATCTATGGATACTTGTCTGTTTTGATGACTGTATGATGCCCTTTACATGTCTTTTGGTAATTTTAGTCGTTTGGTTGTTGCCTCCTTGAATTTACCCCACATCTTCTTTTATTTAAGAATTGAATTCTTTCTTTGTAATTTGAATGGGGATTCAAGCCTTGACCGAATCACATTAGTATAAAGATCGGTCGCACAACCCTGTAAAATTACAAAAAGATGCATTCAATTCTGATAATTCCATTTTTGTGCTACAATCGTGAAACAACCAGTTATACAAATTTTTGTATGTTTTCCTATGCATTGTTGTGACATTGTATCGGGAAGCACGTGCTGCCAGGAAAGTTAAATTTTATTAGGAAATAGAATCTAATTTTGAAATGCCTCTCGATTGTTGTCAGCAAATCAAAAATACGGATTCTCATGAAACATACATTAATTTTTGTTTGATGTTTTTCTGCTCTATGTCGATCTGATGAGTTAAGCCTTTTTCAACTGATTTTTATAGTTTGTTCTTATGTTGTGCTGTTACACCACTGTCCCAGGTCAGGGGGAGGGTTGAGCTCTCACAAACATGTTTAACCCCGCCACATTCTGTATGTGCCTGTCCAGAGTCAGGAGCCTGTTGTTCAGTGGTTGTCGTTGGTTCATGTCTGTCTGAATTGTTTTTCGTAAATTGTTTTGTTATAAATCAGGCAGTTAGTTTTCTCTATTGAATTGTTTCATATTTTTCAAGTCGGTGCCTTTTATAGCATTTATATGGTATGGGTTTTTCTCATTGTTGAAGGCCGCACGGTTGCCTATAATTGCTTACATCCACTTTATTTGAACTTTGGTGGATAGTTGTCTCATTGGCAATCATACATACCACATCTTCTTGTTCTTATATGTAATGTAATAATTCATTTATACTTCTCAAATGATTAGCTTATCTTTAGATACTTTAGTGTGTCTTTAGTGATCTCACTGTGATATATTCACACACAATAAGCACATCGATTAGAATCGTGGGATTCCAAGAAAAGTCAAATTGGACGAAACAAAGAACAAAAATGTATGAGTTGAGATTTATTAGCATAAAATACTTTTCTCCAAACAGTTATTGATGTGTAAGCTGGGCCACTGACTCACAAACTTTACAAAGTTATATCTTTATGAGTTCATTGGCTCAGTTTACACATAAATAACTTCTAGTAAAAATTTGTAATCCTATAGTAGTGTAGAAGAATGGAGCTAAAAATAAAAAAAGTATAACAAAAATAAAGAACTTCAAGGCAAATTCAAAAAGGGGAAGTCCTTAAAAAACTGACAAACCCAACGCCTTCAATCAACGGAACAAGTGAAAAACAACTGTTTAGTGCAGGTGCCACATACCTAACATTTCCTGGACGGTCAATTGCTCTTTTCTATGTACAAGGTATTGCATGTTGTAGTTTGGTGATATATTACATATTGTTATCTTGATTTCATTTCAATTACTTTATATTAGTTATACATAAGGCATCTATCTTCATTCTGTCAATAAGTTAGTTGTAAGATTTGGTCCACTCAGCACAATTGATCCTACTACCGTTGTATCGTATTTAGATTTCAAATACTTGTATAAACATTTATTCTTAGTATTTGATCTGTGTGATCAAATTGCCGTCTGCACTTTGAATTTCACTTGATAGCTTTTCTAGGATTTAGAATATATATGATTTTATCAATGAGCAGGTAATGTTCAAGTTGTTTCTTTAGTTGTCAATTTCAATAGCACTCGGATGTTACATGAACATTATAAAGACACCGTATTCATTTTAATACTTGTATATATATTTTCACAGATGGTGAAGGCAGATCAAAAGTTAAGATTAATCTGCCGGTTAATGCTCTGCTGGAATATTTAATTAAAACAGAGAATCGAACGGAATTCAAGGCGTTTTTTGCTTATGATACGTGTACGTATTTTTATTTTCTACATAGAAAAAAAAATTATTTTCCTTACATTTATTACATTTCCATCTATTTATGTGACTCATAATCAGTCAATGATGCATGCCTTTTAAATAGATACACAAAAAATAGTTCACCACAGCGAACTCTGAAAGATGGATTCATCTTTTAAAAAGTATGCAATAAAGCAAAAAATAAAAGCAATAAGAATGAAAGGCTTTGTTATAGTTCACATTATAAGGATTTCGTAAGCAGGGGTATGCTCCTTACACAAAAACTGCTCCAATAGAGTTACAACGAAGAACCACTGCCACTAAAATCGACACTACATAACCTTTACAGTCACCATTTTATCGATTGTTTCCCATTCCGGATTGTAACATTTTGATGACTGATCGGGGATTAGCATGGCTGGTATAGCAGGAGACGCTTGCCCTGTCGACGCACCAGGTCTCGCTCCTTTTGCAGTTCATGCGATTCCCTCTGTTTTTGTTTGTTACTTTGTTTAACCTGTTAATCGATTTAGGAGATATAAACATCGGTTAAGGTGGTACCTAACACTACAGGCAGATAACTCTGTAAAAATCAGCGAAACGTTTTAATTACGTTGTATTGTTAAGGAAATATTAAGCTTCTCAATGATCAAAATCAGTGTTTGTCAAACTGCTATATAACCAATGAAATTTTTCTGATAAAGTGGTTGGTTCAAATTTTTAGATTTTTTTAAATTTTTGTCAAAGGGTCAAAGTAAACATTTTGTCAAAATTTTATGAAAATTAAACGAGCCAAATTAATATTAGTCAAGGTGTTGGGTACCACCTTAACTACAGTTGCATATATTTATAGAATGATTATTATATCCCTCGTTTTTTGACGCGGTGGTAAATAGTGATAGGTAGTACGTCTGACGAAAATTTTTTTGGGAGATTATTTTAGCAAAAATGAACTCTGCCATATCCGCATATATCAGTTCTTATTTGTATCCCCTCTCCTCCTTACACCTTCATTAGAATTATGTAATGCCATTGTACATCTAGCTCCTTTTTTTAGCTCACCTGACCTGAAAGGTCAAGTGAGCTTTTCTCATCACTTTGCGTCCGTCGTCCGTCGTCCTGCGTCCGTCGTCCGTCGTCCGTCGTCCGTAAACTTTTACAAAAATCTTCTCCTCTGAAACTACTGGGCCAAATTTAACCAAACTTGGCCACAATCATCATTGGGGTATCTAGTTTTAAAAATGTGTGGCGTGACCCGGTCAACCAACCAAGATGGCCGCCACGGCTAAAAATAGAACATAGGGGTAAAATGCAGTTTTTAGCTTATAACTCAAAAACCAAAGCATTAAGAGCAAATCTGACATGGGGTAAAATTGTTCATCAGGTCAAGATCTATCTGCCCTGAAATTTTCAGATGAATCGAACAACCTGTTGTTGGGTTGCTGCCCCTGAATTGGTAATTTTAAGGAAATTTTGCTGTTTTTGGTTATTATCTTGAATATTATTATAGATAGAGATAAACTGTAAACAGCAATAATGTTCAGCAAAGTAAGATTAACAAATAAGTCAACATGACTGAAATGGTCAGTTGACCCCTTTAGGAGTTATTGCCCTTTATAGTCAATTTTTAACAATTTTTCGTAAATCTTAGTAATCTTTTACAAAAATCTTCTCCTCTGAAACTCCGTGGCCAAATTAAACCAAACTTGGCCACAATCATCATTTGGTTATCTAGTTTTAAAAATGTGTGACGTGACCTGGTCAACCAACCAAGATGGCCGCCACGGCTAAAAATAGAACATAGGGGTAAAATTCAGTTTTTGGCTTTTAACTCAAAAACCAAAGCATTTAAAGCAAATCTGACATGAAGTAAAATTGTTTATCAGGTCAAGATCTATCTGCCCTGAAATTTTCAGATGAATCGGAATACCCGTTATTGGGTTGCTGCCACTGAATTGGTAATTTTAAGGAAATTTTGCTGTTTTTGGTTATTATCTTGAATATTATTATAGATAGAGATAAACTGTAAACAGCAATAATGTTCAGCAAAGTAAGATTTACAAATAAGTCAATATAACCGAAATGGTCAGTTGACCCCTTTAGGAGTAATTGCCCTTTATAGTCAATTTTTAACCATTTTTCGTAAATCTTAGTAATCTTTTACAAAAATCTTCTCCTCTGAAACAACTGGGCCAAATTAAACCAAACTTGGCCACAATCATCATTTGGTTATCTAGTTTTGAAAATGTGTGGCGTGACCTGGTCAACCAACCAAGATGGCCGCCACGGCTAAAAATAGAACATAGGGGTAAAATTCAGTTTTTGGCTTTTAACTCAAAAACCAAAGCATTTAAAGCAAATCTGACATGAAGTAAAATTGTTATTCATGTCAAGATCTATCTGCCCTGAAATTTTCAGATGAATCGGAATACCCGTTATTGGGTTGCTGCCCCTGAATTGGTAATTTTAAGGAAATTTTGCTGTTTTTGGTTATTATCTTGAATATTATTATAGATAGAGATAAACTGTAAAAAACAATAAATGTCGGCAGAGTAAGATCTACAAATAAGTCAACATGACCGAAATTGTCAGTTGACCCCTTTAGGAGTTATTGCCCTTTATAGTCAATTTTTAACCATTTTTTTGTAAATCTTAGTAATCTTTTACAAAAATCTTCTCCTCTGAAACTACTGGGCCAAGTTAATTATAGATAGAGATAATTGTAAGCAGGAAAAATGTTCAGTAAATTAAGATGTACAAACACATCACCATCACCAAAACACAATTTTGTCATGAATCCATCTGTGTCCTTTGTTTAATATGCACATAGACCAAGGTGAGCGACACAGGCTCTTTAGAGCCTCTAGTTTTGTTTTGTTTCTATCTATTACCGGAATTATTTTTGGTTAACGTAGTCGTTAGCAAATCATGGATTGTGTCATTGCTTTATTTATTGTCTCCCATTTGGGATCAACAACTCTTCTCAAACCCTATAACAAGGTATAATAATTTGCTGATTTCTAAGAACCTTTACCATATGGTGCCAATGTCCAGTTTTGATTATGTTTTTGGTCTAAATATCTTTTGAAGTTTCCCTTGCCAAATTATAAACTAATTAGCCATAGCTTAATGCTGGGAGGAGTTTCATTTTGTGACCTTTTCTCGCATGTTGTACATTTGAGCTATATCTATGAAAGAAATGTTTTTTCCAGCTGTTTCAAGAAATATAATGAAAATAGAGATTCCAACCAAAAACCAGCTTCACAATCTTCTAACAAATCATGTCAGACAAATACAGGTATGATATTTGTATGCATATAAAGCATGTGTATATAACAAAACAAATATAGAACAAGCTTTATTTCTTTGGAAAAATTGTCGTTGTACAAATTTGGGATCGAACCAAGTATCAATAGCACAGTAAACTACAGCACTATGTTAAGTTTAATTTGGTTTAGTTTACTTTTGGTTTATACTTTTGACTAGTGGTGCTTTAGCACCACTTTCAGCTACATTGGCTTTATCATGGCGTTCCATTTGAATTGGTGGAGGAATTAGGAATACGAAGCGAGATCCATCTGCCTTCGTCAGGAAACCAGCCAATCGATTTGGTTTAAAGCATTCTTAAAGAAGATATCGTAATATAAACTTGAAATTTAGTACACATATGCATTAGGATGTAAGCTTTTCAAAATATCTATACCAAATCAAGCCAATGTTCTGCAGTTCACTGAACCTGGAAATGTGATAGCTTGAGCAAGGCATAGTGACATGGGAATTTAAAAATGTTCTAATTTAGAGTTTGAGGAATTCAAGTCTTAATTGTATATTATTCTTCATTGTAATTTTTTCACCTTTTCTAGATAATTTAAATTATGAATTCTTAAAGATGTATGATCAATGGTCAGACTTTACACACAGAGGAGATTATTCTTTAATCGAAGGTATGTAACTTTTTTTTCATTTTCACGTCCGTCGTTTGTGTGCAACTTGGTACGGACCAGTGGAACCTGCTATATACTATCCATTAAAATCATTTTCGGTGCATATGCCTGCTTGGAGACGTTTTGTATAAGGAAGAAGGACATGGATGTTTTTGAAAACTGATTAGTCGATTTTTTGCTGCTGGAAATTGTTTTAAAGCTTATAAAATCGTGCGTGTTGAGATAAGAAAACATCATTTACATGCATTTAATAAGATATATACCTGAGACATATAGATTTTTTTCTATTATAGAAAAGGATTACTTCATCTGTTCGTTCATATGATTTGTATAGATTTACTTCAGCATAAAAACTTATAAAATCGGGCTTGTTTTAATAGAGCAACAATCATATATTTATGTAATAACACATATACCTGAGAAGTAGCTTCTTTCTAATATTAAAAAGGGTTATAGATAATTGAATATTGATAGCAAGGAATTTATTGATTTCGATATGATCAGATTGAATCCAATATATATATAAGCCGAAAGATTACGCTGCTCTCCAATATATGGCCCATGAAATATAAACTCTCATAATCGTCACAGCTTACATATTGTCATCTCGTTGTAGGTAACCCAGAATATGAGGTAAGGTTGTTCTTACAAAAGTACTAACGGATATGCTATATAAATAAGTAATACATAAAACAAAGTATACCGTAACGCATTGCTAGCTATTTCTAAATATTTTTTCGTCTATATTAAAACTTCTTGAAAGTACAAGACAACGAATTTTCAGATGTAAATTTGTAATTCTTTTTAGTTATGGTGCACATCTTAAAGTTTTTGCTGAAAACAACTCGGGTGTTATATTCATAAGAAAGACATGTTCGTCATGAGAAATTTCTGAATCCCTAACTGTAGCATCGAAAGAATTTCGACTTGGCCATTTGGCGTTGATTGTGTGACAAATGCAACAGCAGTGACACGAGTTTACTGAACACATTTGATTGGCTTGGCTTAATTTATTTGTGGTTTAGTTAACTATGGTTTAAAACAACTACGTACCATGAATTTTGTATTTACGCCATTATGGTTTCTACTGCAAGTTGCATTATGTGTATTAATGCGCGATTCTATTCAAAAGGTGACAGAACATTTAACATATGTTTTGATTTTACTACCATCCCAATTGGGCCTGGATACCGTATTTGTCCTCTCATTTCTCCAGGTACACCACCTAGCATTGCACAGCCACCTTTTTCTATCCTTTAACCGCAGTTTATGAAAATTAGCTTTATATACATACTACATGAATATTAATTGAAAAGATGTTATAAATGCCAGAAGTACATAATGAAATAAAATGAAGGTAGTTAGGCGAATCTAAATGTCTGGAAAAATTGACATATGTTGAAGGTGGTAAGCAAATAAGTGTTAATGGTATATGCATATGTAACAGGTACCCCCCTTGTATGGTTATCGTTTTTTTGTTTTTATTGGGTTTTTTAACCGTTACGTTCAGTGGATCCATCCATCTGTTCGGCCGTAAATCATTCCATCAAGTGCCCAGTTAAAGTGTTAGTTTAAGATATTTCAAGAATTTAATTATTTTTTTGAAAATTTAAAACTTAGTACATATATCACTTAAAATGCGGATATATCACAATATTTCCACTTTAAGGTTTTGACAAAGATTTCAAGTTTATTAATCATGTTTATGTTTTCGTGATGTTCTCCATGAATTTGTAATCATACAATTTGCATGTTCAATATGATACAAACTTTTCAAAATATATTTCAAATAAGAGTTTTAACCATGAATTCGAGGTTCACTAAACATGAAAATGTGATATTGTCTGTAGGGCATAGTGTCCTATTGGCACATATTTGCGGATTAAGGAGGGACTCCTTCGATTGGGAAACAAATGTATTTTTGACGTATAATTATCAACAAACATTTTCTCAATTTTACAATAACGGACCACTACAACTCTCTTAGCTTGAACCCTGTTCTGCCCCTGACACCTATTTTGAGGTTTACAGGAAAGACAAAAATGTGGGAAATTAGGATCGAATAGAAAACATGAGACATGTATAAAAGAATATAGAAAAAGACTCTCCCAATCCCAACCCTGTAGCAGCACAGGACTTTTAAAATGCAAGGTAGCAGTGAATAGAATGATATAAAATAAACGATTAATAAAATAAAATGTAGTTTTCTTAATTTTTCATACTTATTAATAGCCAATGTTTGGCTTTTTTCAGGGACCATTTTATCACGGATTAAGTGTCGAAATAAAGTCACATAGTAAAAAGAAATTTGTTTTTGATGGACATGCAGCAATTCTTGAATCTGTTACATTTATGTCAGACGCTCCATTGCAGGAAAGAGATACATGTATTCTTTTCAGCTGGAAAAATGATCTGTATTCTCCATCTGCTATACGGAAAATATTAATAGAGAACGAAACTGATGGCGATAGTTTTGACATAATATTGCTTTCAGAAAGAGAAGGGCAATTACGCATTGAGATTTTATCAGATGTTTTCAATGATACGGCATTTCAAGTAGCTAAAAGTCTTCAAAATTTGAAAGATGGCCGCCAAATTAGAAAACTGAAAGATATACTTATACTTTTGGATCCGGGTGATCAGGGAATACAAATAACAAATTTCAATAAACCTAGCAATACACAACAAAAGAGGAAAAAGAAAGAAAACAATGATATTCGTACAAAGTACAAAAGCAAAGTTGAACAGCAAAGGACAAAGTCAATAAAAATCGGGAATATTGACGTACAGTATTGTCTTAGCAAAATCCAGGATTGTGATAGAACGTTACAAGAAAAAGCAACCATTAAACAAAAAAAACTAATTTTGAAAAATTATCAAATATCAGATTTGAATGTTACGTATAACAAGTTTGAGAAACCTTTACCGGGAAAGGCTAAAACTAAGGTTCCAAGACACGAGATAGTTCCGACTAAAATGAAAAATAGCAAAGTGAAAACACAAATAAAGCGTACAGAATGGAAAATATATTTGAGATCTGGAGAAGATGAACTAAGAAATTTAGTCTGTGATTATTTTGGAGACGATATGATACTGTAACAAAATTGGCGTCCATCTATTAAAGTTGTATAGGATTTTACGGATTTTCGCGTATGTCTCATCAAGGGGATATAAGTAGCGCCTTTCATGAATTTATAAGTCAACTGCGATTGTCGGTTCCCTTTAAGGAAACTTGTCTACCCCCCCCCCCCCCCCCAAATTTGTGTATTGATATTGCTTTAATGGTATCGATACATTACTTTTGTTGTTATGTAGTTATTGTGTAAAGTATGGATAATTATGCTTTCAGTTGTTGCTGAATTTACCTTTATTTTGCATGCTCATGTGTGAAAATCCCAGTTCAAACATGGTTAACTGTTAAACTTTTATTATTCTTGCCTTTGTTTTTATATTCGGAACACCTCTCTTTTGTTCATTTCAATTGAAGTACACAAACGTTTTACCAAACACCCCGAACATAATTTTGGTAATCACCAGTTCCGGTTTTGGTAATTTAGGTATTTTCCTAAATGGTAAATGGTAAACCAAAATGGTAAATGGTAAACCAATTCGGTAATTGGTTTACCTAAGTATAAATACAGCGGAACATTCACTAAGTCTTCAGCTCATATTTTACCCTGGGCAAGTAACTTTCGCTAATTCCAAGCGTTATAATAAAATTAAGTACCAGTTACCAGACCAGGTCGGTAGAACCAGTTACCAAGCAGACGACAGATAACCATGTCTGAGGAGAATAGGTCCGTACATATTTTGGTTTGTCAATTCCTTTACGAGTTACACACGGAAATAACTTATTAAGTTAAACTTTATCTTTTGGCATTGAATTTGATTTACCATTTGCCGATTACCCAACTATAATAGTAAACTTTCTGGGTATATTTTTCCGCTATCCATTTTCTTTATTTCACGATAGAAGGTTAATAATATATTTATCTATAAGATTATGATATAGTTAAGTTATTTAATATTTATCTGTATTGTTGATAATTAATGCATCTTAAAGTTAATATAAGTTGATTTTTATTTAACGAGTCTGTTATTCCTACAAACACAAATACGGAGAGTTACATACAAAACACACAAACACTTCCACAGGCCAAAAACATATTTCCAGATACACCCCTTTTTTTTATCCAAGTCTTCACCTTACCAGAGTAACCAACCTAACCAGGGTGTGGAAAGAAACCAGAGTACCACGAAACCAGGGTACCACGCTACCAAAGAAGGGTCTCCCGTCATAACTTTTATTTCATATATATAATTATGCATTCTTACAAGAACATTCTTATAGCAACACACTAAGGGATAAACATTTATAGTTTAACACTAAGGCCCGACCGCTCGGTTTTCGTTACAGTGGTGGCAGCGGAGGCACGTACCTACATTTTTATATTCTTTAAATAAGTGTAATTATATTTAAGATAAGACATAAATAAAAATAAATAAAATGGATAGCACGGAAAATCAATTTGAAACACCTAGGTTAACTGCCCAGGGTAGACCAGTGCTCCCCCGATCTCGGTCCTGTGAAATTTTCCATGATCTGACGCCGACCGGAGAGATAGGCATAAGAGTGAACCAAGATCAATGGCCCTCACAAGAGAATACGAATAGATACGAAAAGGATGGTATACATCATGCTGACAATAGGCCATTGTCAGGGGATCTATCACCATCAAGGAAAGTGGCCATTGACCAAGCGAAAAACCCGGAAGTTTCAAATAGGGCAACGGTTGTGCATTTGGAAAAAAATGCAGCGCATACGGTAAAACAGAATTTTGGTGAAGAGTCAAGGACTCTTTTGGACCATGCTGCCAGAGGGTCTAGGTATGGGTTTTGGAGTCAGAAAGCAGGGGGTTCTGCTGAGGGAGACTCCGGGAATACAAGACGAGTCGCGACGTCTTGTGAATCCGATGCCCGACGGGGTAGATGGGATTCGGGAGATTTACCTAGGACTTTGTACCGGGGCGTACCCCATAATCAGGGGGCAACGTACCAAGCATTACCTTTGACGTCCCGCGGACGATTCAGAGTGGGGGTTAACGGGACCGACCATGAACACCGAACTGATGAAATGACCAGTAATATAAATTATGCTGGCATTAGCAATGAACCAAATTATGAGCGTGATTATGATATAAACTTACAAAATACAAAATACCACAAAAAGAAACCAGCACTTTATGATGGGGAGGGTAATTGGGAAGACTATTTAGTTCAGTTTGAATTAATTGCAGCAATTAACAAATGGTCTGACATAGAGAAAGCTTTAGAACTAGCTACTAGCTTAAGAGGTACCGCCCAAAGTATTTTAACTGATTTAAGACCAGAGATGCGGACCAATTTTATCCAACTGACAGCCGCCTTAGCTTCTCGTTTTCAACCAGAAAACCAAGCAGAAATGTACAGGGCGCAAATGAAAAGTAAAATACGCGGACGCACAGAACAAATACCTGTGTTAGGCCAAGACATAAAACGTCTAGTAAGATTGGCGTATCCATCAGCTCCAATGGAGGTTAGGGAACATTTAGCACGAGATTGTTTTATTGATTCCTTAAATGATGCTGACATGGAATGGGCTATCTTCCAGGCCAAAGCAAAAAATATTGATAACGCCATTCAAGTAGCTCTTGAATATGAAGCATTCCAAAATGGCAGACGTAAACACGGCACTAAGCCAGTACGTGCTGTAAATGATAATTTTGATTTAAATAGGGAAATTTATTTGTCTGAACAAGTTGATGACATTTCAGGTCGTCTTGCAAAAATAGAAAATGATGAAAAAAATAAGAAAACTTTTTCTTGTTACCATTGTGGGGTTTCCGGTCATTTTAAAAGGGAATGTCCCCTATTGAATAACCGATCCCAACGGTTTGAAGGTAACAGACCTAACACCTCATTTCCAAGAAAAGTGGCAGACCAAATGACTGGTCGGGGAAACTATTAGTGGCTGAAACTGAGGACCAAGTTTTAGCTGAGACTAATTATGATTTTGAAGAGTCCAAAAATTTTGAGAAATTGAGTCAGATAAAATCAACCAGTTCTGATAGCTTATATGTAATTGCCAGTGTTTTTGACATGAAATTAAATTGTTTGATTGATACCGGGTCCACTGTAAGTGTCCTTAACTCATCCATGTATAATACCATGTCCAAGAGTGTAAAGCCAGAGCTATCCAATGCATGTAATGGTTTACGCATGGCTAATGGAAGTGTAGTTATGCCGATGGGGACTGCTGTATTTCCAGTACAGCTGAATAAAAAAATTGTTTATCACCGTCTCATTGTTGCAGACATAGATATACCAATGATAATTGGATTTGATTTTTTATATAAAAATAGTTGTATATTAGATATGGGAAGGAGAACCGTAGAAATTGACGGACAATTTATTACCTGTCAAAGAGAACATTGTTTAAATTCTATTTTTGTCGAGCCTGCGACTTTTGTCGCAGAAAGCTCGACATAGGGATAGCGATCCGGCGGCGGCGGCGGCGGCTACGGCGGCGGCGGCGGCGGCGGCGGTGTTAGCTAACTTCTTAAAAGCTTTATATTTTAGAAGGTGGAAGGTCTGGATGCTTCATACTTTGTATATGGATGCCTCATGTTACGAAGTTTCCGTCAGTCACATGTCCAATGTCCTTGACCTCATTTTCATGGTTCAGTGACTACTTGAAAAAAAAGTTCAGATTTTTTGTAATGTTAGATTCTCTCTTATTATAAGTAATAGGATAACTATATTTGGTATGTGCGTACCTTGCAAGGTCCTCATGCCCGTCAGACAGTTTTCACTTGACCTCAACCTCATTTCATGGATCAGTGAACAAGGTTAAGTTTTGGTGGTCAAGTCCATATCTCAGATACTATAAGCAATAGATCTTGTATATTCGGTGTATGGAAGGACTGTAAGGTGTACATGTCCAACTGGCAGGTGTCATCTGACCTTGACCTCATTTTCATGGTTCAGTGGTTATAGTTAAGTTTTTGTGTTTTGGTCTGTTTTTCTTATACTGTATGCCATAGGTCTACTTTATTTGGTGTATGGAATGATTGTAAGGTGTACATGTCTAGCGGGCAGGTGTCATCTGACCTTGACCTCATTTTCATGGTTCAGTGGTCAAAGTTAAGTTTTTGAGTTTTGGTCTTTTTTTCTAATACTATATGCAATAGTTCAACTATATTTGGTATGTGCGTACCTTGCAAGGTCCTCATGCCCGTCAGACAGTTTTCACTTGACCTCGACCTCATTTTATGGATCAGTGAACAAGGTTAAGTTTTGGTGGTCAAGTCCATATCTCAGATACTATAAGCAATAGGTCTTGTATATTCAGTGTATGGAAGGACTGTAAGGTGTACATGTCCAACTGGCAGGTGTCATCTGACCTTGACCTCATTTTCATGGTTCAGTGGTTATAGTTAAGTTTTTGTGTTTTGGTCTGTTTTTCTTATACTGTATGCCATAGGTCTACTTTATTTGGTGTATGGAATGATTGTAAGGTGTACATGTCTAGCGGGCAGGTGTCATCTGACCTTGACCTCATTTTCATGGTTCAGTGGTCAAAGTTAAGTTTTTGAGTTTTGGTCTTTTTTTCTAATACTATATGCAATAGTTCAACTATATTTGGTATGTGCGTACCTTGCAAGGTCCTCATGCCCGTCAGACAGTTTTCACTTGACCTCGACCTCATTTTATGGATCAGTGAACAAGGTTAAGTTTTGGTGGTCAAGTCCATATCTCAGATACTATAAGCAATAGGTCTTGTATATTCGGTGTATGGAAGGACTGTAAGGTGTACATGTCCAACTGGCAGGTGTCATCTGACCTTGACCTCATTTTCATGGTTCAGTGGTTATAGTTAAGTTTTTGTGTTTTGGTCTGTTTTTCTTATACTGTATGCCATAGGTCTACTTTATTTGGTGTATGGATGATTGTAAGGTGTACATGTCTAGCGGCCAGGTGTCATCTGACCATGACCTCATTTTCATGGTTCAGTGGTCAAAGTTAAGTTTTTTGAGTTTTGGTCTTTTTTTCTAATACTATATGCAATAGTTCAACTATATTTGGTGTATGGAAATATTTTATGATCTATTTGGCAGTCACGCAGGTTTTATTTGACCTTGACCTCATTTTCAAGGTTCATTGCTCAGTGTTAAGTTTTTGTGTTTTGGTCT